ATCTCGTAAGCGAAAAACGAACACTTTTAGTCTGCCGACGCGGGAGATGCTTATATGACACTCACATGGTTCGCCGGAGGACACGGGTCTGCTAGGTCAACGACACCTGACGGAAACGTGGATTTTTTTTTTTTTTTTTTAAAAAATTATTTATTTATTTTTATCTTTTTTTAGAAATTAAAATTTTTCAAAGAAAATTAAAAGAATATAAAATCTACTTGTCTCTTGCCGGGCACACGTATCCTCCGACAAACCATATGAGTGTCACGTAGATATCTCCGGCGCCGAATGACTAAAATTGCAAAAAAAAATCACTTACAGAACTAGCTTGCGACGACTCCAATTACGGGATTAAAATGACAAATAATTCAATTACTCAACTAAAAAAAATCAGAGTGAACCCTATTTTATAAGTAAATATAGTCTATTTTTATTTGAAAGTTATGAAGTGATAAAAATTGAAAGTAAACATATCATATCATATCCAAAAACTCACTTAAAATATATCAAACTCGCACACATCGACAAACAAACTCCGATAGCTCTGTTTTTAAAAATTTTGGTATTATTAATAATTTTATAAGACTATATTTCATCAATAATATATAGATATAATAAAAACATCAATTAAAGATACAATTTTTATTATTTAAAAAAAATTAAAATATTAAAACTAGAAAAATATCTATGTAAATATAACCTAGTAGAATTAAAGAGCAGAGGACACGTTGCGAAGAAGATACGAGATGAAATTAAATGTGAATGTGAAAAGGATATACATATCAAAAAACATATATGGTGGGTGATATGTGTTACCACATTACACAACATCACATTATTTTTTGCTCCTTAAATCCCTAAACTCCACAACATAAATTAATTATTTCAATATTTTTTCTAAACTAATTAATACAAGAGACTCAAATAATTAAATTTTCCAGAATATTTATGCCCCACCATGATTTAATTTATCTCATCACACACTCTAATCTATCATTGGATACATAATTTTCTATACTTTATTTGGACAACTTTTATTTATATTTGAAATTTATTATGGTGTCATATTCATTGCCAAAAAGAAAATTTTTTAACATTATTTCAATAATAAAAACAAAACAAAAAAACTGAAAAACAATAAATAATAATAATAATAATAATAATAATAATAATAATAATTAAACGATGAAACTTTTATATTATACATTATATATAGAGGATTAGAATTCGAAATAAATAAATAAATAATAGTAATGGAATTCATTCAAGTCATTCTTATCGATATATATATACACTCTATTTATATATATTTTTGAATTATTTTGTACTATTTATTTACAACAACGTTTTTAAATATATTATATCACATAATAAATACATTATACAAAATATCATATGAGATATTTATAAAATATATTTAAATGGAACCTTAACCGTTCAAATCTCTAGGCTAATTGTAATTACATTAATATATAGTATTATTTTGTAGCTTAAAATTAAAGTCATTATTTAAGTTCAAAATAAATTCATGGCTATACTCTAAATTATATATATATATATATATGAGAGAAAAAACAAATAAATTATATTAGAGTCACCATATATATATATATGTAATGTATCTCAATTGAGATTTAGAGTGGACATAAAAATTTATCTTAAACCACTTAAATTTGTATTTTTTTTATCTTTGTATATTTTTCGGCATGTTTTTATTTTGCTCAATTTTACAAAATATAGCAAATAGCGAGAGGAAATCTAAGAGCATCTTCAGTGCGGCTGCATTCTGCATAAATGGAGTTTTGCCCGTCCAAAGTGTTGCAGTGTAGCAAGTCTATGTTGTTCGTCATTTTTTTAATTTTTAAAAATTACATATTGATCTTTGTTTCATTATACAGTGACTAATCTACAATTTTTTATATTTTAATTATATATATTTGTAATTTTTATTATTTACTTAGTGATTTAAATTTATTATAATTTAACTTATGTTTCAAATATTAATGTAATATTTATTTTAAGTTAACATGGTATAATTTTTGTATTTAATGTAATATTTGTTTTAATTTAGCATTTTTTAATTTTTTGTGCTAAATATAATATTTGTTTGTTTTTGTATTTAATTTGTAAAATTATTTTCTTTAACAATAAAAATTAATTATTTATATTATAAATATATTAGTAAATAATAAAAAATATGTAAATAATAATAAAAATTGGGTATGAATAAAAAAAAATTAAAAATATATTTTATCTTCAACATTCAACATAAAATATTATACTATTTTATATTACCGATAGGATTTCTTATATCTTACATAATAATTTTTTTCAAATTAAAACACTAAGCACTATTTATTAAAAAAGATTTTTAAAAATATCAAATCAAACACCTCATTTTATTTGTCTATATTAAATTAAAAGTCTATTTTAAATTCAAAATATCAAATCATTACCTATTTATATCACATCATACTAACTATTTTAATTGAAAATTTTTACTATTCAAATCCTAACAAAAAAATCCTAACCCCAAACAAACACACCATAGTGTATTTTTGTAGAGACTGTGAACATTGAATTGTAAAAAATTTAGAAATAATTATAAAGTAAACACATCTTAAAAAAAAAGAAAAAAGAAAACCTTTAAATTTTGTTTTTTTTTTTATTTTAAATTAAAATTACTATTGTATACTTTTAGATGATTTTTTAATAAAAATAAATTATTTTTTTCACAAAATATTATTTAAAATAAAAAGTCAAATTAATTATTTTAAATCAATTTTAAATTATAAATAAATAATATATTTTTTGTTCATTTTTTTGCTAACATAATAATGATATAGAATAAATTTCACTTAATAATATATATATATATATATATAAAATAAACGTAAAATATCAAAATAAGTAAGAACAGTCGTTTATGAGGAAAAATTCAAAGAAAAATGCATTTAAATATGGTCTGAAAAAAGTCATTTACGTGCTACATATTTTTCTAAATAAAATTATTATTTTCAAATTTGTCTGTACTCAAATTGTAGAATACAGAGAGGACAAGACTACTTCATTATTGTCATTGTCGGCTGGGCTTTTACAAATACATACATATTCATTTTAAATTATATTACTACCTTTAATTAATTAATTCTGAGGTTAGTTTAATATCCTTTTAATAATTTCTTCTCACAATTAAAAATTGCAAAGAGAAAAGAAGTACAGTTCAACTTTAAACCAATCATGGATAATTTATATATTTAAATATATATAAAAAAAAAATATTTATGAGAAGTTTCCTACATTCATTATTAAATATATATATATATATATTAATTTGATTCCTTCCAAGTCATCAAATAATTTGAGTAGTTGGTGGAATTTAATCATTTTCAATCAAATTGGAGTATAAATGTTTATATACTACAATTTAAATTGGTAAAAATATTACATATAGAGTTGATTATATAATTTAATTTTATATTTGTCACATAAGCGCATAAATTAAATAATATGATCACAGAATATTCACTTCGTTGTCAAATTATGCAAATTTGTTACCAAATACAATTGTGATGTTACAACAATAATATTTTCTTGTCCCATTTTTTAAATTTTATTGAATAGAATGATCATTTTATTCCAACACGTTAGAAAAACAACCTATTAAATCCTAACCATATCATAACTAAATAAAAAGGAAAACAATAAAGACCAAAGCTTATCTTAATTTGAAATGACAAATAGAAGATTTAATCGAAAAGGGTTTCACAATGAAAGTGAAATTAGAGCAAAAAATGAAGAAACATCATCCCATATGGGGTTATGTAGTGTAGGGTCTTAATTAATTAATATATGGGTTCTCTAATTTATTAAAATAAATAAATGATAGTAACACCAAATCAATTAATTTATTTATTTATTAAGCCACCTGGCAAATAGGTTTATTACTAAAGAAAGAGGGTACAAACTATTGTGTATATTAAAATAAAGTATTGAATGTCCATGAAGAAAGACAAGAGAATGTCCAATTTTGATAGGATATTTTATCACAGAATTAATTGCAGATTACTCTCATTGGAATAAATAACTAATCATGGCAAATTTCTTCATTTTATAAACTTATTCCCATTCCCAATTCTTGCCACTAATTTTGTGTTATGTGTGGTAAATTAACTTGCTCCATTATCAATAAAAAAAAAAAAAAAAAAAATCAAATCAAATCAAACACTTGTTCCATTATCAATACATTTTCATAATAATAATAATCTTGGAATAAATTGATTTTTTCAACATTTTTTTTTTTTTTTGAGTGAATCAAAAATAATTTGTGGAGTGGTTCATTGAGTGTTGTGTGCTCTTATAAAATTTAATTTTTATTATTTTTTATATAAACAAGTAACTTTTTATTTAAGTTTTCAAAACTGTATAATACAATATAATTTTAAAAAGAATACATAATCATAATATTTAAGTAAATAAAAAAAAAAACAGTTGGGATTAATTATTATAATGTTTATTAATAATTAATATCTTGTAATTACTTATATACACATATTTGTATGTATATGCATGTATGTACAGTTCCAAGGCTTTGTAAATTTTAATTCTTTTAAATTAATTAGTATGATATACATTAATTTATTTGTGTGGTGACCCACAAAGGGTGTCTATTGATGAGATTATTAATTATATTGTTAAAAATCCTTAATGAAAATGCATTTTTATTTTGACAACCTTCTCCCATTAAGGGTATGTTTCATATTTTTTATTGAAAAATATATTAATTATAAATAAATAAAATAAAAATGATTAAAAGAACAGAGAGCCTAATAGTCATGAAAGAGAAGAAAGTAAATTAAATTAAATTGAATGTATAATTGAGAATGGAATTAGGGGAATAATCTGAAAGGTAATAAATTAGTAATCTCACTGACTGTGACCCTTCCCTTTTTAAAGCACATCTTCTTCCTCCCTCCCTATTGACTTCATTCCTTCTTCCTCTCATTGTCTGTCTTAACACACACACTGCATTTCTCTCTCCTCTCTCTCTCTCTCTAGCTGTGTGTGTCATGCTGACACTGAATTATTAATCAAAAGTGATTTTTTCGAGAAAAACAGAAAAAAAAGGATTGTCTTGCAGCATGGGCAGGCATTCTTGCTGTTACAAGCAGAAATTGAGAAAAGGGCTTTGGTCGCCAGAGGAAGATGAGAAGCTCATAAAGCACATCAACAAATACGGCCATGGCTGCTGGAGCTCTGTCCCCAAACTAGCTGGTAACTATTAACTGCTAACTAACATTTTACAATTAATTTGAAATTCCCAGATTAGGGTTTATCGATCTCTTCTGAACTGATCACTTTGAATTAATCGAAAAGGGCTTCAGAGATGCGGGAAGAGCTGCAGATTGAGATGGATCAATTACCTCAGGCCTGATTTGAAAAGAGGGACATTTTCCACTGAGGAAGAGGATTTGATCATCGAATTGCATTCAGTTCTTGGAAACAGGTGTAGTAATGTAATGTAATATTGGGCTTAACCTTGAATTAATTGATTGATTAATTAATTTGACAACGTTGTCAAATTTTCCAGGTGGTCTCAAATTGCTGCCCAGCTCCCTGGCAGAACCGACAATGAAATCAAGAATCTCTGGAACTCATCCATCAAGAAGAAGCTCAGGCAGAAAGGGATCGACCCCAACACCCACAAACCCCTCCAAAATAATTCCATTAACGACCAACAAAATTCCCCCAACTGTAAGAACAATGAAAAGCCATCGGAACCTGCTTCCAGCGACCTCAGCGCCGCCGCCCTCGACAACTCCGATCATCGGAGTTCATTCGCCCTGCCGGAAAATTACCAAAATCACTCTCACCTGGAAAACTCCGGCAGCCCCAATTCCACCCAAGAACTCCTCCTCAGTAGATTTGTCGCCGCCGCCGCCGGCAAGCCGCCGTGTGATCTGTCGGGATTTCTTTCCTTCCAGCAACCAAACATCGGACTGGGTATGAATTCCAACGCCGCCGGTCTTTACTTCCCCAAGAATTCTGACATCAGCAACAGCGGCGACTTCGGACACCACTTCACTGCCGCCACTTCCATTGCCAGCCTGTCGGCGGCTCCAATTCTGGCACAAATGAAACCGCCGCCGCAGGCGGCGGTGGCTGCCGACAACCACCCAATCAATCCTTTCTCTGTAAAATTCGAGAATTGGGATACCGGCGGCGGCGGCGGCGGCGGTGGCCGGTTAAATAATGTAAGCAGTGAGATTCAAAGCAGCAGCTACCCCTTCGAAAGCGCCGCCGCCGCGTTTCCATGGCCGGCGGCGGCGGACTGCGGAAAGTCCGATCAGAAAGAAGAAGACATAATCAAGTGGAACGACTACCTGCAGTCCCCATTTCTGCTCGCAAGCTCTTCCATTTCCATCCACAATCCAATCGGCGGCGCCGGCGATCATATTTACGGCGGCGAGAGTAAACCTCCGGCGGCGCAGTTTACAACGGCGGTAGATCACGGATCATTAGCCATATCCAATTGGCAGACAAGCAATCCGGCAGCCACTTTCGGACAATTTTCATAGTACTATAAATTAAATTCTTATAAATTAATTTCTCCGATGCTCATAAAAAAATTGGAATTCTGAATTAATTCGCAGGTCCGATGAACGACTCCATCTTCAACCTTGAATTCTTGTTTCAGCAAGCAAACTGTACGTGTGCCTATACAGATTGATTAGTACTCTTTATTCTTAATCTGTAAATATCGGGGGACCGACTATACTAAAATTAATTAATTTTCTCAGTTTTTATTTGATACCGACATTTTTAGGTAACCAGGAATATTATTGCTCCTGTTTCATTACCTCTTTTCACCTTCAATTTATTTTTATTTGCTCACGCAATTTACAGGTTGTAAGAATTCGAGGCAATAATTATATATACTCATTATTTAATTAATTAAAGATTTCACTTTCTTGACTTTTACCGTACGTCGTGAAACATACATTTATCCATGAATCGAAAACCCACCTTTCAGGACAATGACTGGGACTGTCTGTCCCCATGAACATATAATTTTATTTTATTTTATGTACTGTTCAAGAACCCTTCCCCACCACGACCCAATTAATCAATCCTTTTCAGTACTATATATCTATCTATACATCAAATATATCCAAAGTAATTAAAAAGGGGTACTGAGAAAATGAACAAAAAAGTAGTAACATTCTGGAGAGCAGAACTTAATTCGATCCACTGCAAGATTCAAAGAACCAATAACCAGTCCCCTCGAATGTATTTTATTGTATCGTATTATATGCATGTCTTATTTTCACTTTTCACACCCAACCCACGTGTGCTGATCGATCCTTTAATTTGTTCCAACAACCTACGTAGCTAGGGTTACATTATCCTTACCCAAATAATAATAATAAAAATAATAAGTAATTGAATTTTTTGATTAGTTGAAACCTAGAAAAATATTGTATATCCAAGCCCTCGAACACTATTCGACCACGACGGTAAAGTTGCCGGTGGTTTAATTAAAATGGGATGGTGCCCTTTTGGAGGTTCGATGATAAAAGTACCTCGAAAAATATTTTGTACCCGTCCGTACATTTTTTCAGACCTCAAGTCTCCGAGGTTTTGATCTTGACACCTATATATATATATATATACATAAAAAAATTAAAATTGATTGTTGGTTTTTGGCTTGGACTATGTCTAGTAATTTTCCTGACTTCAACTTAGACTTCACAATATATATAATTCTCTATGGAATTCAATCGAGATTTATTTATTTTGTAGGATCTATAGAGGGGACATGAAAATGAGGGGCCATGAAAGAGGACATGTCTTGATGTTGATGCTTCGATGATGATGATGATGATCGATAATGGCGATGGAGAAAGGTTGTGCTGGTGACAAGTCCATCTGTGTTTTTGTGGGAACTCTATCGAATTTAAAATCGTGTAGACTAGTTTTTAGGATAAGGAATTAGGTCACATTATTATTTTGATTCTATCATCGGTTTTTCTTTGCTTAAAGTTGATCAATTGGGAATTGAATGAATATAATTTATTTGAGTCAAGTTTTAAATTAAAGATGTGGCAAGAAAAATTCAATCATGTTATATTCTTTTGTACAATTGTATAATAAACTAAGATATAGGAGTCGAGTAGTATCTTTTTAAGAGATTATTAATTTAGGGTCGAAAGTATTATTAGTATTCTTCGAACATTCATTTTCATCGTCACAACTGTGACAAACATGTTTGACTTTGCTACATTGCGCCGAGTAAAGAATGAGCTCCACTCGACTCGACTCGACTCCTCTTTTAAACAGTATTAGAACTTGGAATGATGCCAATGCACCTTTCCCTCAAGCAACTATACAAAAGGACAAATACTTACAATATAGAGTTGCAATAATTCATAGAAGAAAAAAAAAAGATTCTATTATAAGGATTTGGGGAATCAAATGTAAGAAATAGATGATGAATAGGGCCACTCGATTTCAATTATCCATAAATTCAATATATATATATATATATATCGTCAGGATGACCCGGTGGTGTAGGAGTTTGACTTGTGACCGTGAGGTCATGTTTAAATCCCCGATGCCTCAGGTCACCTGCCACACATAGTTCACCCAGTGTGATTTTCCCGTCGGACTTGGTTTGCAGGTATTAGGTTAGGCCGGGAGGTTTACCCAGTGCACACTTTCGGGTAGCGGCTGCCGGTTCCCACGTCATCTAAAATCCAAAATATATATATATATATATATATATGTATGTATATGAACCAAACCACATGAAGCGTATATATTTGTGGGGTATAAATCCAGGAGTCTCTTTTGTGCGCCCACGTGCATCCAAGGAAAAAATGTACACTCAATTCAATTCAATTTAATTAATATATATATATATATATAATTTTCTTTTCTTACATATTATTATCATTACTAATAATTTTATTATATGGTCTTCTTGTTTTTAATATCGGATAGGTTAGGGTGCACAAAGAAAATAGAAAGACAACACATATGTTTAAATAGTACAATTAAAATTAACAATAATATATGTTATATGAAATGTTGTCTTGTATTGTTAATTATTTATTTTTTATATTTGTATTATATTAATATAAATTTTGTAATACACCGGATACTGTGTATATTGTATGTTCATATGTATGTATATATATATAGGTGGCAGCTACAGCGCCGTACTAACATACCACAACACACTGTGATCTATTAATTAAACAACACACGGTGCTACTACAGACATCATACCATATATATTTATATACAATACAAATACACCACATGAACTAACATTACATGTTATAGTCTTATACAACACAAACAATAGTTGATTTCAGCACAACACAAACAATAGTTGATTTCAGCACAACACATAGTATCATACAAATAATAGTTAATTTCAGTACACCACACATACTGTTATATAACACACTTATAATTATAAACTAACTACACATGTTTTTACTATATACACCATGTGTTGTATATAATAAGACTGAGTGTTGTTTATATATATTACAGGTGTTGCGTACTGAATTTTTCAAATAAACACCCTAACAATTCTCATATATATATATATATATATATATAAAGATACCCAATGCGTACGTATATATATTTATATTGGATAGTTGCAATGGATGCATGTGAACCAAATTATTGAGGTCTTTATATATACAGGACCCACTTAAGTCTTCTTCTTCTATATATATATATATATATATATATATATCCACAACAGAACAAAGATTTTTAAATAAAAATAATTAGGCATGGAATCGAATTGTCACAAGTTATACGTCTTTTTTTTTTATATATATATAATGTTTGTGGTGGTACATGTTTGCTAATCTACAGTATTTATATATATTTATTATATGATCTTCGAATTCATTTTTCATTCAATTATGACCATATTATACATCTGTTTCATCATTTTATTTGTTATTTTACATTTGGCAACCTATTCTAGGTAATATATTGACTTTATTTTTTTTACTATTATGCATTTATAGTTCATTTGAAATGATTTTATAAATTATATAAGAAAAACTACAGGTATTCTATATATATATATATATATAAGCTACAGGAATTAAATTAAAACATGACATTTTATTTAATAATTAATTATGGTGATATATGAGGTCAATGATTATGGTGATGGTCGAGGGATTAATTATATTGATTTTTTAAGTAATTAAATTTGTAGCAAATGGGCATTATTTAAATATATATATATATATATAATAGTATATATTTATAAATGAATTTAATTAGTCTGGCTGTTAGAAGCTGAAGGAAGCAGGCCATTGCTGAACAAATCCAAAAATCAATTCTAATTTAAATTGGTCAAGGGCTTGGTAATTAAATAATTGACGTGCTATAATGGTGCATGGTATGGAAATTAAATTATTAATCACGAGCAAATAAAATATATGTGTGTGGGGGTGTTATTTAATATTTATTATTGGATGTATTCAAAGGATATAATGATTGGGATATTAAAAAATAAAAATAAAATTTACGTTTATATAACAAATCAATTATTCTCTTAACTACACATGTAATGGCACGATTAATAGCATACTACACTGTTAGATAAATTTTTAATTATTGCATTAAATATAAATTCAGTTATTCTCGATGGCTCTTACAACAACTTTAACATCCAATAGGTTCTTTAAATAAAAAATAAAAAATAAAAAAAAATCTTGTTTAACAATTTTTTATATATAATAAAATTACTCATTCCTGTCTATCTATAAGATCTTATTTATCTTTTGTATCATTATATTTTACATTAAAAATATTTTTATATTTATATAATTATTTATACAAATATTCTTTTATTAGTATTATAAGACACTGATGCAAGTATTTTTATAATTTTTTTATAATTAATATTAAATATCAATACGGCCAAAAAATAAATTGACTCTTGAAACCAGAGAGAGGTACTACTGTTTATTTGGAGGGATAAATGCAGAGGGAGTTATCTCTAGCTATCGCTGAAGATATGTGAAGAGAGAAAACAAAGAGAAATTTAATGATTTTATTTCGTAATATTAATTAATTAATAAAAAACAATTAAATAATTAATAATTGTGGCAACATCAATTCACTATCTTAATAATCATAAAGATTCTCATTATCTTTTTGTCTGATTTTCAACTTTATGTCTGTGAGGTTATGTATGGAAAGAGATCCCACACCCAAAGACTTTCCCAACATCAGATTTGACTTTGCAGGGGACACAGACACACACAATCCATTACATACATATAATTTTGAATTCAACCCAATAAAAATAAATAAATTAAATAAAATCATTGCCACCAAATACTCACAACAGTTTCTTGATTCCTTTGGTATGTATTAATGTATAAGTTACAGGAGTAGTATAAAAGGATATCATCACTACTAATTTTATTATACAATTATTATGATTATGATTATAATAGTCTTTGGCTACTAGCAAGGTGCAATAAAATCATTGGCCTATTGGGATAAAGTATTTATAATTATTATTAGTATAATATTAAAAAAATAAAAAATAAAAAATTAAATGCATTATGAGAAATGTCTCTTGATTTATAGCCAAATGCATGAACTAAACCTTTTTATCATTTTTTATAACATTGTCCCAAAATTTGAAACTCTGTAGGCTTTCGCAACAAAGCATCTATTAATATATTTTTTATTTAAAACATTGCTATAAAAAAACATTGTCCCAAAATTTGAAACTGTGTAGGGGTTCACAAAAAAGCATCTATTAATATATTTTTTATTTAAAACATCACAAATATACGTACATGAAATATTTGTAACGTTTTAGAAGAAAAAATATATGTTCTTTTAAGAAGAAAATTAGTTTATAGTCGATAACATATACCCGATAGCACAAACAAACACATTTTTTTCCCATTTGTCTCTGAATATTCGAAAAGAAAAGTGAAACAAAGCCATTCAGATTTTACAGACATGGTTGGAATCCTTGCAGAACAAATTTGGGACAGTAAATTCTGAGACAGGTCTCAGCAACCTTTCTATGGACAACACCGCGGCCGCAGATTCGAGAATGGTGTAGCTGAACGGAGTTGAGATCACCTCTTCGCACTTCAATTACTAAAAGACCTGAAAATGAAATAATCAAGACAGTGTATACAGTTTTGAGCTTTTATGTAAGAGAAAAACAATCGATAAGTAGACTGTCTAGCTAAAAAGAACTCATACACAACCAATTCAAGACATTATTGAGGTTCTAGAAATGTTTTAGCCGAGGATGCTCTTGGGATAGCCCCGGCACATCATCTAGTTTGAGTTATCGGGGTTGGTCTTCCAATTTATCATATGTTGTCTAAACTATTAAGCACAAAACAAGAACCACTTTGACAAATTAGGAACTTCTGTAGAAACTACTAATTAGGTTCTAATATTCTATTGCGGCTCATAGAAAAGCCGTAGTTCCTAACTAGGAGGAGAGACATATGGAGAGTGAATCAATGAACTTTCGCAACCAAAGAAGCATTTTTTTTTTTCCTCTGCAAGAGAGCGAATACTGTAGAAATCGGTTTGTGTTTGTCTTACCATTTTGCATCATGTATTGTAGAATGAAATGCACAGAATGATAACATCTAAGCGACATATAAAATTATAGGGAAGAAAATAGGAGTGCATCAACAAATGAACTGTCACTATATAGATTCAAGTATAGCACATGATATCCGATACAATTTAAGAGACAGAGAACACAACTTCATGCCATCTGAGAAAAAGAAATACATAGAATCATCATCGTGAGAGAGATCTGGATCACAATAATAATTCGCCCTTTTAAACAATCTTCTTTATAAATGGGAACAGCTATCATGGTTTTACTTTAAGGAATTATTGAAAGGAAGCTGAAGAGTTTTCTCCGGGCTATCTCAAGAATTTCGTAATCTTCTGCACCACCTAACACTGCATCAGTTGGTCCGTTCTACAACTGCTTTGATACAACCTATAGATAGAGTATAAATCAGTCCTTACACTTTATTTTTTCTCATTTTTACACTTTTTTTTCTCATTTTTAACATTCGACAGCACTGTAGGCGAATTTGGAAAAGCAGTATGTTGCTAAATATATGATTAAAATTTTGAGATTGAAGAAACATCAGTACACAATCTGCATGAGTGAGGCTCTCAAATCCAGGATCATTTGAATGAGTTTAACCCAATTAATTCGGATCAGGAAATTCAGGACATTGCCTTTGAGGATGATGATCAAGCTACTTTTGTTGTATTTTCACTCTCTCCTTTATACAAACATTTCTTATGTCCTATGGAAATCCATCTCCTTTAAGTACAAATATGTAAAGACAAAATGTAATAAAAGGTCACTATTATAAGCTGGAACACATGGTTGTTGATTCCTATAAGTTGAAAATTAAGAAAGAGTGAGAAGCAACAGTTCGCTTAGATTCAGGGAACACTTTTTTGGTCAAGATAACAGAGGCATGTTCGCGGAGGAAGTGGATTATAAATTCTGATTACTTATTTCATATATGCTTAAATTGTGAGTGATTCCCTAATGGTGAGGAATTGATGCCCAACACTTTGTGGAAGGGATTGATTTAGTTAGAAAGAATACATAATTGAAATATGATCATGTATACTATTGTTAGATATGTGGTATACTATGAACGAAAGCATGATTTCTTTACGGGCTTTAGAATCAATACGATATAAATATTATGCTACACGGTAGAGTTCTAAGGGCACTGCTAAAAGCAAATCAAGGAGAGAATTTATACATTTTGAAAGACTCCACCACGCCATGTAAAATGCAGAGCTACATAAGCATCCCTTAGTTATGTAGGTTTGTGCATAAACAAAGCCTGCTGATAAAGCAAGGAGTTGGCAAACTCAAATTTTGCAAACATTGTGTATATGGCAGGAAAAAGCAGATGCACTCTTCATGGTTGACACATGCATAAGAAAACGCTACATGATCACTCTGGTTGACGGTATTAGAAAGGTTGTAGTTTTGGAGCTATAAAAGCAAAGGTCGACCTTTTTAAGCAGTGAAAAACACTTGAAGATAACCAAACGGACAGAAAGGTTAAGAGGCTTAAGACCAAGCACGAGTTGAAGTATGGCAACCACAAATTAGATGACAAAGCATAAAATGCTGCCATATATATCTATGCAAGACTCTTGGAGAGATCTAGGTGTATGTCATGAAATGCAAGTCTGGGAAAAGCAAAGATTGTGGACAAAAGTTGTGCCCACAGCCTGCCATTAGATCTACAACTCTTCACATTCTGCATTGAATTTTTAAAATGTTAGAGTGGCAAAAAGGTCACCATGTGAAGAGTGATTTTCAGTGAGAAAGCTCTTCTAAGAAAGAAGACTTGCTGCTCTTCTTAGCAAGATGACAACACTGCTAGCATTAGTGAGAAAGCAGAGAGCTTGATGTTGTAAAAGAAGTAATAATCTAGAAAGTAAAGGAAGCCATGAGAAATCATGAGAAGGTAAAGGTCCTCTTCCATCTATTTGAACCTCAAATTAGCGAAATACCTAAGTACAAGCAATAAGAAGGTAGCAAATCTCTTGGAGAGTTTATCAATAATAAGAGACCGTGAAATAAAATTAGACACACACATATACTAGCTAATTCTGATTCGGAAAGTCAAAGCAAATGCTTAAGAATCATCTGGAGGCAGTTTACAAGGCAAAGGCAAAGAGCGTCCAAGAATCATCCAAAGGCAGCCTATCTTGAAGAACAAGCCCTTCAATACCCGCTGCAGATTTGGATATAAGAAAACATACTTGCATTTCTATTGTGCTATTCTTTACCTTTATTGGATTGAATTTTGCTATTGTGCTATTCTTTACCTTTATTGGATTGAATTTTGGCTCCAGGAAGATTTTCAGATTGAGTTTATCTAAATCATCCCCTAAATTCTTAGCATAACAGCTAATCATAGAAACACCAATTCAACCAATAGCAACCTCAACCTAATTAATCTTGCAGCAATCAGCATAGCTTTAGAATACATATTAACAGCTGCAATGCATAGATTTCGGGCACGATAACAAACTGAAGATCATAAATTAGAGCAAATCGAATATTAATGCGAAGGATTGAACTTAGAGCAAAGCATGAACAGGTGAATTTCACAAAACTGTTACCTCATCCGTAAGCAAGAATTGGTGGCTTGCCAGATGATTCCTTATCCACTTTTTCCTAGGCATCCTCTCTATGTCGATTGACCATCAAATAAGTCACCCTTTCAACCGCTTCCTTGGCACGTTTCCTCGCCACCACAGCTTCTCGAACTCTTCTCTCCGAATTGGTTCTAGCAACGGACGCCATCCGGCGCGTGCACGCAGAGGAGATCTTGGCGGCGCAGAGCAATTGCCTCGGCAAATCCCTAGCGAATGAATTGCCGGCGGTGTCTTTAGAGCTGGGAGAATCAGGCCTAAAATCGAAGAACTTGAAAGAAGGATCGGAGCACTGGGGGCAGATGAAGCGGAAGGTGGAGGAGGAGCGGGCAGAAGGGAGGCAAGTGAGGTGGACTATGGCAGGGCAGCGGAGGCACATGACGCGGGACTCATTGGAGAGGTCGGAAGTGTCGTCGTAAAAGTCGAAGCAAAGAGGGCAGAAACTGCCGGTGTGGTGGCGGAGGACGCAGGCGGTGCAGAGGAAGACGAAAGAGCCTCGGTGAGGGACGTTGTGAAGGATAATGGAGTGGAGCGATTTGCAGGAGTGGCACTCCCGGAGGTCCCGGACCTCCATCTAACTGCTGTTTGCTGAAATGGGGCAAATTAACAACTCTGACTCAGGGAGAGGGAAGGGATGGGACAAATTTATAATTAAAATATATTTTTTACTTAAAATATTATATCAATAATATTATTTTACTTTTTTAATTCAATAGCCTCTTCGAAGCCATCTCCGCTGTGAAAGTAAGACGCTGGCCGGCGTTCGTTGCAGAAATTAGGGTTCCGGGGACTTTCAATTCTAATATTGCCGAGGAGGCTTCCATGGCCGGCCTATCTTTTCAATTCGTCTCAACCTTAGGAGCCTCATTGTCGAACTTGTGTCCGCCATGCCTTACTCCGCTCGCACACTTTCCTTGATGCTCAGGCAACGCTGCAACGACGTCGTCTCCCTGTACAGAATCCACGCACAGATCATCACCAATGGCTATTTCGCCGTTCCCTCCCTCACCAACAGCCTATTGAACTCTTACGTTTCTCTCCGATTCTGCATTTGTCTGCCAAATTCTCTTCCACCAAATTAGAACTCCGATTACTCTACACTGGAATTCTATCATCAAAATCTTGTGTCAGAGCTCAAGTCCCCTGTTAGCCATCCACTACTACACTCGCATGGTCTCTTGTATATTTATTTATTTATTTTCTTTTTACTAACATTTAAAATTTCAAAATCCTCGGAAACCTTCCTTCTAAACAAAGCTAATATATTTGGGATGCATATTTAAAAAAAATAAAAAATCCAAAAGAAAGATGGTGAGATACATTTGAAATCACGTACACTAATAATATTATTATTAATAAAATAAAATAAAATATTTTTTAAAATATATTATATATCAAAATCACCTTAAGTGGAAGTAACCTTAGCTGCAAAACTCCTCGGAACTATCATCCACTTACAAATGTTGGATATTACTTTGTGTTGTATATAAATTGTTTATATTTTATTTATTTTGATTTATTTTCATATAAATTTTTTAAAAATATTATATATATTATTTTTATTATTAATTTACAATAAATATGACAACTTAGGTCCACATAAATAATATATAATTTCATGTGGCAAGTAATCTTAAGTGTCGAAAATTTAAATCCATAATTTTACGATCACAAATCTATACCACCGACAGGTCGCTACCAAAAGGTGAATTATTTTTATTAAATCTTATAATTACTGTAAGTTGATTAGAGGAAATAGCATCCCCTAATATAAAGCACGAAGACAACAAATATTAATATAGACATTGTGTTTGTTTGTCAAATTTTACAAAATTTATACTCTCTCCGTCCATGCAAATAATGCATTTTGTTTGGTACTATAAATTAATTATTTACATAGTTATTCAATGGTTAAAAGATTAAAATATATATAATATTTTTAACATTATATATCAATAAAATATATAAAATATAAATATCATTTTATAGATAATTAAATTTTATATAATATAATTAAATATAAAGAATATATTTATTTATTTATCGTTATTATAAATTAGTTTTTAAAAAAATTGAAAGATTTAAAGATAAATAAAAATATTTGTTAACTGATGAGAGATTAAAAAAAATTAGAAATTAAATTAAATTAATTTATATTTTTTAAATGTATTTAAAATTGATAAATTTATTTTTTTAAAAAAAGTCATTTTTGTGAAAAATGACAAAAAATAAAAAAAAAAAATCATCTATGAGGAACCAAGGGAGTACTATTTATCAATTTTTTTACCTAAAACATATTAAATCAAATATCTATTTTATATATTCTTTATTATACTAAATTCAATTTTATATTAAAACTATCACATAAAAATTTTATTTATATTACATCGTCGATAAACATTTGAAGATATAGAAAGTACAACAACAACAATAATAATACTAATAATAAAATATTATAATTATTTTATTATAAAAAAAACAAGATAAATTTTTTTCAAACCTAAAAATATATATATATAAATTTAGACGAAATATGATATATATATAAATAATAATTTATGAGTGATGGATACTCTTTTGGCTTGGGTTGAGATCATCGGTCTAAATTTATTCAGTTTAATTGGTTCATCCAATCAAAATTAAAAGGGTGTGCATTTATTTGTTTATATTTTTTTATTTTGTTAAAAATCAAAATCTAATTAATTTACCAAATATTTGCACAATAGTCTCTATTATTTCTCTCTTAATTCTTTCATTCATTTTTGTGTATTCTGCAAATCGATTTTACCCCCAAACTCCAATCCTTCTCTATTATGCGTTCTCCAAATCGACTTCACCTTCCGACCCAATCCTTCCGCCGCCAAGAAAACTGGGTAAATTTGAACCGATGATCCCAAGCCGTGTTTTTCAAATCCTATGCGCATATTCATCGAACACTTATAAAATATTTCACAATTTTTAAAAATTATTATGATTATTTTTCTCTCTCATCTGAAGAGATTGTATGCAAATTAAATTAAATAATTGTGTTGTGTTAAGGTGTATAGATACACTATAATAAAAAATAAAAAAAACCCCTAGAGTGGGAAGAGTGGGAAAAAAATGAGAAAAGTGAAAAAGAAAAACAAAATATAAAAAATAAAATAAAAAAACACCTATTGTAGTTCTCTTGGCGGCGGAAGAACTAGGTCGGAAGGTGAAGTCGATTTAGAGAACGCAGAATAGAGAAGGATTGGGGTTTAAGAGTACAATCAATTTGTAGAACACAAAAATAAACGGAAGAATTGAAAGGAAAATTATAGGGACTATTGTGCAAATATTTGATAAATTAATTAGATTTTGATTTTTAACAAAATAAAAAAATGTAAACAAATAAATGCATATGCGTTTAATTTTAATTGGGTGAATCGATTAAACCGGATAAATTTAAACCGATAATCCCAACCCTTTTGGCTTTGCCTAAAAAAACCAAACCCTAAACAAAACGCATTAAATAACGCACAAAACAGGGCACTTAAAAGAAACAAACATGGGCAAAGTTGGAAAAGTCTCGACGGCGGCCAAACTGGTCAGAATCTCTTACTACGACCCCGACGCTACCGACGGCTCCTCCGCCGACGACGACGAAAACGCCGATCATCCACACCCCCACAACAACAAGACGATGAAGAAAAAGAAGACAAAGACAGTCCACGAAGTTGCTCTCCAAACTGATCGTCGCCACCGTCAACCACCCATCAGAATGAAGAAGCTTCCCGGAGTCCGTCGCCGGAAATCGGGAAAATTCACCGCCGAAACTAGGGATCCATTTAAGAAGAAACGAATTTGGCTAGGGACTTTCGATACCGCCGAGGAAGCTTCCATGGTCTATCTCTCGAAGCAGAGTGAAATCGACGAGAGATTGAAGAAGATGAGGAAATCCAGCGGAAAAAGTTTCTCCGCCGGAAGTTCTTCGATTTCCGGCATCGATGACGACGACGGAAGTCTGAAATTACCATTTCCCCCCTCCGAAGCCGACGGGGGAAAGAAATTGGCCCCGGAAGCCGAGCAAGATTCCAACTTTGGGTTCTTGAATGGAGTCCAGGTTATCGACAAGAATGGATTTTTGGTGGGCGAATTTAGCAAGATTGATGATCTGAGCATCAGATTTGAGGAAGACGACGCCGTTTTATGACCTAATTAGAAGCTAATTTAGGTATTTCCTAATAATCGATGTAAATTTTATTACTTACTGTTGTGTAATGTTTCATAAGCTTCGATTTTAACAGTTAGTCGGAAAGCATGATCTGTATCTGATCAGAGGAGTGGAGGTTGAAGAAGACGATGGGGTAAGAAGGTCAGAAAATTTTCAGTAGCTGATGAAGATTCGATTTTGTTTCTGTGAATATATTTGTAGTAATTAAGGATGGGTTTGTAATCTAAATTCAGGATTGTCTTCCTGCCATGGCATGTCTGCAAATTTTGGGGATAAGTTGTATGAATATCTGTAGTATTTAACCTTCCATTATGAACTATAATATATATATATATATATAAACCTATATATATATATGTATATACAATCAAACTAACAAATGAAATAGAAGATAGAAACACAAAAAAATATATAAGTTATTCGATTTTAATTTTGATATTGGGTTGCTTGCTATAATTACTCAATTATAGTTTTAAATATGAATTAAGATATAGATAAGTTAAATTAATTATTTGAAAATTTATAATAAATTGTTTAGTTCTTCAGTGGATATAAATTTTTAGCTATTAGTATTGTAGTAGTCCTACGGCCATATTTTGATAGCTTTTCATCAAACTAGATTGGATTAAAAATATTGCACACGTATGTTTATTCACAAATTTAAATATTTGTATTTAATAATTCATCGATATACATATTATAGTGTATAAATCTTATATAACTATAAGTCATATAACTACAATGAAATTTGCAATTAAGGCATGTATAATGCCTAGTTGGTTTTCCACTTTATAGTTTAATATTTGTTATTTTATTTTATTTTATTTGTAATATTAAATTAAATATTTATATTTTATTTTTATATTATAATTAAAAATAAATTGTACTTTCTAAAATATTATATTAACTACTTTTTAATTTAAAGCATTAGTATTTAGTATTTAGTATTTAAATTCAAGTCTGCATTCTTCGGGCATGGGCATATTAATTAATTAATTAATTAACGAAAGCAACTCTTGTAATGAATAATACTATTGTTCTTCATTTAGGAGTGGCATGTTTCGTGATGCAACTTTTGATTAATTAATAATATATTGTCCCAACAAGCAGCTAGTCATGAATATAAATATAAGTCACAATTTTGTTAATTTTATGTGTATCCATTTAGATATACAGTTTTCCACTATTATATATCTTCTTCCTCTTCTTCACCATCACCGCGTACCTTAACTTAACCATGGCTGCTCCAGCTGCTTCTTCGATAAAGATAATGATGACGATGACGATGATAGCTGTAATAATTATTCACGTCTCTGCCAACGATCCTGATCCGCTGCAAGATATCTGTGTTGCTGATTTCTCTTCTGGTATGTATGGTTTATTTAACCATATATAAATAATAATTTATGATTATGTAAAAAAAATAGTTATAAATTAGAAAATATATATTTAAATAATGTAAAATCAGAGTTGAAAACAAACTAACACACCTTAACCTAGTGAATTTTATTCTTTTCTTACAAAATGGGCTATTTTAAATAAAAAGTAATTTTTTTTTCTAGTTTGATGTTTTTACAAAGATATAGAATAAGTCGTTTCCGAAGATAAAAAAATATGTATCATATTACAATTTATGCTAAAAATGTGAGTCTATTTTTCGACTACAAAAGGAATAATATCTATAAAAAATGCGTGTTCAAAAAAACTATATTGAAGGAATATATATATATATATATATTTATTTATATATATACTGTGTAGGGATTATTTGCTAATTACTAATTAACAATGAAACAGCGATAACGGTCAACGGGTATCCCTGCAAGTCAAACGTAACGGCCGACGACTTCTTCTTCGCCGGAATATCGACGGCCGGCCCGACCAACAACTCCGTCGGGTCGCTTGTCACCGGCGCCAATGTCCAGAAGTTTCCGGGCCTCAACACCCTCGGCGTCTCTCTGGCCCGTATCGACTTCGCCCCCGGAGGCGTCAACCCGCCGCACACACACCCACGCGCCACCGAGGTGATCTTCGTCCTGGAGGGGGCGCTTGACGTGGGGTTTATCACGACAGCCAATGCCGCCGTGCTGAGGAGCATCAAGCAGGGCGAGGTGTTCGTCTTCCCCAAAGCCCTCATCCATTTTCAGATCAACCGCGGGGACTCGCCGGCAGCGGTGATCTCCGCCTTCAACAGCCAGCTGCCGGGGACTCAGTCAATACCCACCGCGCTGTTCGGGGCGGCACCGCCGCTTCCCGACGATGTGCTGGCGGCGGCGTTCCACATCAGCCCCGGACAGGTGATGGACATCAAGTCCAGATTCGCGCCAAAAAATTGAATTTGAATTTGAATTTCATTGAAAGGTTTGTGTTATGAAAACGGGCAGAAAACCGTGTTGTCATTTAAATTAAAAAAACTATCTTTGCATTTAAATCACCAGAAACATTTTTGAGTAAGGGTAGGATAGGTGTGTTCTTACTTGGCTACCGTTTGCTGCTTTCCATCTGGAATTGCAAAAAGAACTAACGGCTTCGACGGTCGAACAAAAGGAACATCGCACCTGTAATACCCTTTCCTCTCCAGCTGGATTACGTCGCCACGCTTCACGTTGCGCATATCAGATTCCCCAAGCGCTGATGTCTCTATTTTGGTTCGAGGATTCACTACATCGATGAAATCTTCATCTTCCTCGAGCTGTCCAATTGAAACAATTAGGATAAGATCGCGAACTAATGACAGAAGATTATTATAGTGTTATAAAGAGATCAAGCAAAAATGGGACCTTCTTCTTTGTGATAAGATAATCGAAGTCCACCAGGGTCAGATTGATAAGCTCGTTGGTATCCGCCAGCCAGGTGAGCTTCAACTTAGTCGTCTTAACATTCCCATCGAGATTCAAAACCCCAACCAGTTGAGAAACAACTCCATTGCCATCCTTCTTGATTTCCTTCACAATTGCATTGCCCCAATCCTTCAGAGTTACTTCCTCGTCGATTGAGATCACTTGGGCATCAGCAAAATCTATCCATAATCTGTTTGAATACGTTACTGGCTTCTCCCCAGCACCGGGGTATTTCTTGTGTTTAGGTAAGATGCGCACGAAGGGGTCTTTGGGACCATCAGTGAGAATTAGCTGCACACGACGCTCTTCAATGACAGCCATGTGCCTCGGGCACACAGGATCAATGATTTTCTTATTGATAGCCCAGAGTTTGTCCCACTCCATGAGGTTGAGGTTCTTCGAAGCACCCTATTTAAATCATTAAGTCCATTGCATGAAAAATAGCTAAATTAAACCTAAATAATATGCAAAAAATGTAAATGTAAAATACTAGACGATAAAGGTCAAAACACCGTACTGAATGAATGAACTTACTTGTTCCAAAATAAACTGTATAAGCGCTTCAATCTTTAAACCACGGCGCACGATTCCTTGAACAGTTGGAAAGCGAGGATCATCCCAACCATCAACCTTCCCATTTTGAACAAACCAAAGCAGTTTCCGCTTACTCAGAAGTGTATAGACCATGTTCAGCCGACTAAACTCATATATATAGACCTTTCTCAACCCCATATCACTCTGAATTCTGTAATATTGGTCATTGCGATCATGGTACTCACTGGATCTCAGTGCATGTGTAATACCTTCCAAAGAATCGACAAACGGGCAACAAAAATCATACGTTGGGTACAACTTGTATTTAGCTCCTATTCTATGGTGAGGAGTTAAATTGCAACGGTAATACACTGGATCCCTTAGTGATTTGTTTGGGTCCTTCATATCCAATTTTCCACGGAGACAGCACATCAAACCCCTCTCGGAACCGGCAATCATTTCCTTCCACAATTTTAGATTTTCTTCTACGCTGTTATTCCTGCACCGTGAATCTATACCTTCCATCCTTTCCTGTTGCATTTTCTCACGTGGAGTATCATCGACATAGGCCTTGCCCTCCTTAATCAACTTCTCTGCCATTTCCATGGTCTGAGGAAAGTAGTCTGATGTATATGTTACAGTACTATATTTGATCCCCAGGGTTTCGATGTCTTTTAGAAGGTTGTCCACAAACTCATTACTTTCCTTGTCTGGATTTGTGTCGTCAAATCGTACAATCAGCTCCCCTTTATACCGGTCTGCAAAGTACTGGTTCAGCAGCGCAGCTTTTGAATGCCCAATATGAAGGAAGCCGCTAGGTTCGGGTGCAAATCGCAACTTCACTTTTCCAACCTCAGCATTGGGGAGATCCACCTGAATTCCTCGGCTTCCAGCTGCGTCAGATGCATGAGCATCATTCTCCAATGAAGCTGACCACGAACTTGAAGATTGAGGTTCTTTTGACTTAGATACGACAGCTTTTGTAGAGCCTCTTTTTCCAAGAAATGTAGCAGAAAAATCACTCAACACAGGATCATGTTCAACAGATACAGAGTTGAACCATCGAACTAAATTTTGGTACTTTTTGGATTTTCTTAAACTTTCCCATCTCAAACCAGCTCCTAGAGGGAAAACAGAAGGTACACGAGGGGAACAGTGTTCATCAGAAACCACATAACAGCAACATAACAGAATGATCAAATAGACAAACAATTTGAGAAATAAAACATTTAGATTAAATGAGAAACAAAATACCAAATTACAGCCCCATAGAAATGTACCTCATATTAAATCCATAATATATTATAATCTCAAAGATGTATGTTTTCAGAAACTTTACCAGCAAGTGCGGTCCAGATTGCTACATCAGCAATAGACAGGGCATTGCCAACTAGAAAGGTACGTTGCAGTAAATATCCATCAACAAAACTGCATGCTCCCTCAAATTCAGACCCAGACCCAAATACAGGTGCATATTCAAGCCATTCATCAATCTAGGGGAGAGAAAAGAAAAAAATCCGAAAGGATATCAAGAACAATGTCAACATAGACTAGGTGAGCTTACAAAAAAAGAAGAATGTATTATTCATACATAGGCCTCAGTTATAACAAAGTTCACAAACAAAACATCATAAAAAAGTCACCTGGCTTGACTGATATGCATCCTGTCCGTAGAAACCAGGCAGGTTTGAAACCCTACCAATATATCTCAGAATCACATAGGATCCCTGCAGCTTCTCCCTAAAATAGCATAAACACATATACATTCATTAACTTTCTACTGCAATTAGAATATCACATAAAACCAAAATTGTAACAGAAACTGAAGAAGAGCAGTGCTCCATTTCATCCACAAAGTATCTGCAAGGATGTGTAACCTTTGCAATATCCCCAAGACAGCCTATATATTGATCCAATGTCCAAAGCAAGCTAACAGTTCTAGTTATAATCTAAAACAGGTAAATGCCCTGTTAATGCCGATTACGAAACTAGCTCGCCGCTACAATAATTTTTCCAGATAAATTCACGAAAACGCTCAAAATCAAACCTATTTTGCTTAGTTGAGGGTGAACTGCCATATCAAACAACTTAATAATTTGCGCACCAGATTCAAAAAGACCAATAATGAAATAAAAACAATCCTAATGAAAGGAACTGGTGCCAAAGTAAATAAAAATATATAACTCCACTAGAAATCAAGAATAATACGAGAAATCACCCGCTCGCGAGGGCAAGAGTGGGCGGAGAGCCAGAAGGCTGTGATGAGTTGGTGAGGAGAGAAACGCCGGCGATCTTTGCGGCGGCGATGGCTGGGAGCGGCGGAGAATCAGCCGGATACATCAATTCCATGGCCGACTGGTGGAGGTTGAGCTGCCCTTCCGCTTCAGCTTTCGGTAAACTTCCCCAATGCGTGTGTAGATAGTTTTTACTTTTCTTTTCACTTTACTCGTTATTTTCCAATACCTATTCAGTAATAAAAAGCATTTCTTATTATATTCTCTCTCCAACATCTATATATATTCATTTCTTTTTCAAGAGAATAATAATTATTTTTATTACATACTTTTTTTTTTTTTTTTTTTTTTTTTAAACATGAGGCTCATTTAATTTTATCATAAACTTTAAAGTGAAATGTAATTTTGCATGACGGATGATTTTGATATGTAAAAAAAAATATATGATTAAATTTAAAATATATTGATGTTTAATATATTATTTTTTATTAGAAAGAATATATTTTGAAATAGAATAATAAAATAGTAAAAATGATATATTTACTTTAGATTAAGATAATACTTTTATAGCAAAAAATAAAACATAATATAGTTTTTTACAAAAAAGGAATTTAATTTTTATGATATATGAAAAAATGAAGTTATCTTTTTAACTATGGGAAAGTAATAAGTATATATCTAATGTTTAAAATATTAATATAGATTATTATTGTAAAACAAATATATAAAAATAATAGAATATTGTATTATTTATAATTTAAAAATTATATAGAGTAATATACTCCCTCAATGTCAATTGGAAAGATCTTTTGGTTTATGGTAAATTAAAACGTAATACTACCTACAGTGGTTATTTTGTGTTGATTTTTAATATTAATTATTATATCAAAATATAATATAAATAAAAAAAATAGGACAAAAATAGATCTATTAGTCTCTTATAATATAACTACAATAATATTTGTGAAATAAATTATATGCATATAAGAATATTATTCGGTAAGTACAATGGCCGAAAAGCATGTGTTTATTTTCTGTGTGGACGGAGGTAGTAATATTTTATTGGGTAATAAAAATACGTAAGAAATTTTGATATTTTTTATGTATAAAATAATTGTATATGTGTAATTTAAGTAAAAATTAAAATAGTATTTTGGTACTTAAATATGATTATTTTTTATAAAAATAAACACTTTTGATGGAGACAAAAATAGTAAAAAAAAAAAAACTTTTAATTAGAATTGTGAGAATATTTTTTTTTAGTTTGTTTGATTACAATTTAAAACACAAATCAATATTGCTTACTTTATACTATTTTAATGAAAACATATTATTTTTTTATAAAATATTATTTAATAAAATTGAAATTAATATACCATTTTAAATCAATTTCAAAACTCAATTAAACAAACCCCCTTTGTCAATAAAAAAAATATATGTATTATGTTAATATTTTTTTTTGTTGTTGTATCATAGTTTATTATTAATAATAATAAAAACTATTTATAATTTTATTATCATTGTTTTAGCACATAATAATTTTTTTTATCATTATTAAATAAAATTATAACAATTAAATAGTAAAAAAGTTAAAATAAATAAACATATAAGTTCTCAACTTTTACTTATCTTTATTTTTCTACACATTAAGAATACTAAAAATATCGAATGAAAAAAAATAAATAAATAAATAAAATATCGAATAAAAAATGATTAATTTTCAAATTTCAATTTTCTGGTTCAAATGAACAACGAAAAAAGAATTTTTTTTATTTTTATTTTTAATTTTCATACCAAACATATCCTATAATAAATAATGGCAGTGTAATTCATCTAAAACATATCCTAGCTATACCTCTACCTATCATCAACATCACTCTTATAGGTAGAGGTAGTGAGGGTTGGGAAGGTTTTGTGGAAAAAGAGAAAAAGAAACAAGTATTAATATGTGTGTACAGATTGATGATGCCATGCCATACATATTCAATTAGAACGTCTGTTTGTTCTCTGTAAAGAAATCATGGCGGGAGGACGACGAGAGGAAGACCCCATTGGGTGCAAGAAACTACTGCGCAACCCTCCGTTATCATCATCTTCATCTTCATCTTCTTCACAAGTCTTTTCAGCTTTCTCGACACCATCCAGAATGGCTTCCAGTTGCAGAACCTCCGCCGCCACAGCTTCACGCCACGGCCACGCGATGATCTCCTCGGCGGCCACAGGCATCGTCGGCGGCGTCGTCTGCCGGCCACCTGCTTATTGTCGAGCCTCGTGTATGATGTTGCAGTAGTGAAACCACAGAATAACTGTAATTGTATTGCTGACTCTGCAAATGATTCCATCTCCAACGCCTGCATGTATGATGTTAATTACTTTACTTCAGATCGAGAATATATATCTATATCTATATATATATATATATATTGCTTGTAATATGATACCCAACTCAATGTACATATAAAAGGAAGAAAGAAACATAAAGCATGATATATATATATATATAGTCACAAGTCCACTACCATTATATATACATAATCATTATTCTTCGAGTACGTTTTAGGTAAACTTTCTAATAGTCTATCAATTAAATTCAACAAAACAAGTCATTTTAATTGGATAAATCATATGTGACAGACAAAAACTGGCTAGAAGAGTCAGAGTTTGAACTTATGAAGTCACAATTATGATCCAACCCTAATATATATTTATTTATATATAAGCAAGCACATGGCTGATGAGGATGAGGAGGAGTTTGACGGCGTGGCGTGTTAATTTGCGGTTAAGGGAAAGGTGTCGGAATATATTTTATGTAGATATATAGATAGATAGACAGATGATTTGGCAGGTGGAGATTCCTTCTACACATGCCTACCAATACCATCACATATAACTAATTAACCTCCAAATACATTGCACTTCACTCTTTGTTGAACTGTGTCTCAAAAATAAATATAAACAAAAACCATGTTAGGATAACAAGAAAGAATAATTTTTATGAAAAGTTCATACAAAAGAATCCCAGAAATTGTATGATAATGTACTGATTAGCAGTGTACTAACCACTCTATCAATTCCCAAGACTTTTATGTGGATCGAGTCGTAACTCTAAAATTATAGATTCAAATTATTTTTAGATTAAAAAAAATAAAATAAAATTATGACATTTTTAGATTTTGTTAATAACATATATAATTGGTTTATGGTGATTTGTATTGTTAGGTTTAGTTTGGGCAAATTAGGAGTTGTGTGAGTCCAACCATTACATGTGGAATGACTGATTTGATACCCAAATTTGACAGATAATTAGTCAAATTTGTCTTTATGTTACATTTATCTATGATTTGATTCCTCAATGTTTGAATTTTAAATTTAATTTAAATATTGGTTTTGCTTTGTTTTTTTAACCAAATTTCTTCAAAGTAGATGTAAATATGAGTGGTGTTTGATTTTGTATAAGTAGATGTAATATTTTATTAAGAATCATATATTTTTATAGGAAATTTAATATTTCTATAGAGAAGAAATTGAATTAAAAAATGAAAAAAAGTATTGTGTAAAATTAAGTTCTACTCGATGGATCGAATGCATATATATATATATATAAGAAATGGTTCCGGTGTTGATTAGGATTTGAATCAACACTTGAAAATATAGACGACAAGCACATGACTTCGGGTGTGTTTTTTTTTTTTATTGAGTTTGGAAAAAATTGGTTTGCATTTGATATTAAAATAATATTTGATGGGGTGTTTTGTGAAAAAAAATAAATATATATTTTTTTTCAGAAAACATATAATACAAATAGTAAAATTTAAAAAAATTGATCCAAAGAAAGGGACCCTTCAATTATAGCAAGTGTTGCGTAGATTGTAATAATTAATATATATTTTGTACTAAAATTACTAGTAGTACGTATTGCATGGATTAGTGTTATATATTGTCAATTCGCATATTATAATTCATGCGTTGCTCGTCTATGTTTCATACGTTATTAGTATGGTGTTGGTTAATTCCAATCATATATACATATACAATGAATGATCAATTTATACGCTCGAAAATTGCTATTCAAAAATTTTGTTGAATGTTTTCATGTTTGATCTAATTAATTTTTACATAAATGTTTTCATGTTTTCCATGCCCAAAAATTGCATTATCATATATAAATAAATCTATTTTTTAAGTAAAAGAATGAAATTTAAACAAGTCATGATATAAGGACATGCTTCAATAATAAATTTTGTTTAATTAGTTTATAGCAATTATGAAATATTGTACTATATATATAAATATAATTTCGTTTGTCATATAAGTAGAGTACAAATTAATTAAAGCATCTATGGTAGGAATTTGGATATTATATAAAATTTAGTGACTTTTTGCCTTCATTCGATCGATAAGAAGAAGCTACACTAGTACTATATATTAATCAGAGAATCAAATTAATTAATTAATTAATTAAATTCGTTTTCAATGATAAGGTATTTTTCAATCAACACCTTTAACTAACTTGTGAATAATATATTTAATGAATAAAATAACATAATGCCTCAATTAAATTATTACTTCAATCAACACACTATGTGCCAAGTTATGTTTGTATTTAGGTATGTGTTGCTTCAATGCTATAATATATATATATATATATATATATTTTATTGAGATCTGTGTTGGCACAATAGTGATACAAGGAATTTCAAATCACAAATAAAAATTTATTAATCCATACGAAGGGTTGAAGATCCAACAAAATAATAATAATAAATTAAAATTGTGAATTGCTTGCTTATACAATCAAAGTAGATTTCTTGGACCTGTAAGGTTTGCAAAATTAACTAACATATAGTTGCATAGACATATAATACATAAAGAGATTCCTAATTTGTGTTTGAGGCTAAAAAATAAAGAATTAAAAATTAAAAAAAGAAAGCCCTCTAAAATTTTGCTTTACCAAAATAGAAATTACATAATATAAAAACAAATATATCGTATACGGAAAATTTATAATAAATTATCGTGGTCAATTGTCACTGCTATCTTTTAATTGTATTACTTTTCTGTGCTTTCATCATTTGTAGTACAACTTCACTCGTACGGATACAAGAAGAACACTGTCACGTGATGCAGGTATTACTTGACGCGCGATCAGAGGATGAAAATTGCAAAAAAGTAACACATGAGGAATATATATTAAAAGTAAAAAATGATAACAGACCATAAGTATAAGACATTTATTGCAATTTTTCCTCCGAAGTATATACTTAATGAGAAAAGAATTTATTGCATATTATGTAAACACGCTAACACCATAAAATAAAATATAGATTCAGACAAAGACCTATGTGAGGAGATCCATTGTAGATATATATTCCCAAAGAAAAAAATTATTTCTAAACACACTAATCTATAACAAGAGCCAAATATTTTTTGAACCTCGTCATCGACAGCCCGGAGCTCAAACAAAATGTCTTCATTGCTTGAAAATAGAGAGTCGAGTACTCTGCAAAAATCACCATGACAGAGTTGCTTGAAAACGGATATAGGCCGAATCAATAAAGAGAAGGGGTAAAAAGGGGAATTTCATTAGGAGAATCGACGGTTCTAGCTCACCGGCCAAAATGTTCCATCAAAGCCGCGACCTTGCTAGAGAAAGATTAGGTCTAAGAGTAGACGGAAAATGGAAGAAAGTAAGAATTGGGGAGGGTTAAACATTGAGAAGCGATTTAATTTTGAAATTAATTTGAAATGAAATGTTTATTTAAAATTTTATTTAAATAGTACTTTGATATGTGATGTAATATTTTATATAAAAATATATATCTATATATTTTATTTTGAAATCAAACATGAAAAAATATATAAATTTATGTATGTGTTGGTACTGATACAAATAATAGGTCAATACAAATTACAAGAACTAGTATACCAGTTTCAATCATAACTTCAAAATTGATATAAATGCCTTTGCTTTTACTTGGAAGTTATTTCCTATGAATGACAAGTGTTTGATATCTAACAATATTCACATCTATATATATATATATATATATCTATATTAGTTTCATTCTGATTCATCATTCATATATACATTTAAATTATAATGTTGGTTGTTAGTCACAATTAATGTGTAATGATGCTTATAATTTATCCTCTATTTTATTTTTAGTCACACGTACTTTGGAAAACTACTCGTCCATCTTAAAATTATTTAAAAATAAATAACTATGCTTAATTTCAAATTGTTATTAATGAAAGTATTATGAGATTTTATTGATATAAGTAATCATAGTAATATATATATAAACTCTTCATAATTCACATTAGTGTTTGTATGATTTGATTTTTGTGTTAAATAATTATTTGACACAACATTTTGAGATAAACTAGTATTTTAGTGAGAACTATTGTGTGCAAAGACACTTGAGGATTTTTGTTGGTAATTTTATTGTTTTAGATTTTCACAGAAAATTATAAATATTAAATAAATAAATAATTTATAATTTCTTATTTAGGTGTTCTCGATCTATTGAAACTCTGTAATGAAATTATACTTTGAATTTAGTACTTGAAATGAAAATTTGAAAATATATATATATCGTTCAGAAAATTTTGATGATCTGAATTAAAAAATAAAACAAAATAGTTATTACATATGATATTTTAAATAAACGTAAATATTTTATATAATATAATTTAAAAATAAATTAATTGTTCATTGAACAGCGATTACAAAATGAACACAGAACATACAAATATGGAGGCTGCAAGTGAAAATTAATCAATAGGTGTGCGAATACCGTATATTTTCATATAGAACATACTATCATCAGACTCATTAAGATATACAGCAGTCAAAATAATTAGCTAGTGATAGGTTAAGCATCATTCCTTCTCTGTACGGAAGTGGTAGTGATCGTTAATTCAACTCGCAAAGTAAAGGAAACCACATCCACAATGGAAATCCAAATCCTACAAACATCAATCAATTATTGAAGAAGAAGAAGAAGAAGAAGAAGAAGAAGAAGCGAGGGTTATAATTCTAACAGAAGCAATTAGAAGAAGATTGAGAAGTAGAAAGCAGTCCTTTAGAATAATAGTAACCGCCGCAGTTATGGAAGAAGGCGAGCTTCCTCCTTCTGAGCCTGATGAAGTTGAACCATACGACGGTCTTCCTCAGCCTTCCCCACATCACTCTCTTCGCTCGAAACAACGATCTCCTGATTCGATCGGAGACGCTCACCTTCCTCGAGAACTGGTAACTCCTCAGGAACACCTGCCTCCTCTCCTTCTCCATCTCGATTTCGCCTCTGAACATGTATATAGGCTCCATCCTCACCCCAACCCCCATCCCCCTACCTTTCGGAGAGAAGATACAGCGGAGAGAATGAAAGGATTTGATTTTGAAGTGAAGGTAGCAGAGACATATATATATATATATATATAGAAAAGAGCCGGCTCAAGCTCAGGCTGATCGGCGGCTCATATTAGCCGCCGCACACGTGGCTCTTAGGTGACGTATTTATACTTTTTGAGTGGAATTCAAGTTTGGAGTTCGGAAACAGAATACTGAAGAAATCTATATTCATTTTATATATATATTCTGAAAATAGTCTCAGTGACATCGTAATTATGATTTTAAAAAAAAATCGAAAATGATATAAATTTAATTCAAATGGATATAATGATGGATTAATCAATCTATCGATTGATATGGTCATTACTGCCAGCTAGCTCAAAATCAAATAATCAAAACTAAAAAAAAGGGATTATGGTAGATCAATAGAGACGTGATCCTAAAGCCATCAGAATTGACTGGAGGGAAGTGAAGGGGCTTTGAAAGAGGGTAAAATTTAACAAAAAGTCTGGCTCAAATTCATTTCTTGCACTTGTGATTGATTATACATAGGGCAGTCAACGTTGTACTTTCTTACCACCCACACCAACACCAATATAAAGTGTACAAGATTCAACCACTTTTCATCAATGCATAATAATAATAATAAAACTACACCTTCAAGCACAAGCATCCCAATCCTCCTTGGAAAACACACAATAATAAAAACTTCAAAAATAAGTCTGCCAATGATTTCCAAGACAGATTCTACACCCAAGAATCTGAATCAAGAACAACACATAGATACAACCAACATTGGGAACACCTCAATGGAAGCTTTCTTTCAATTTCTATCATCAGTTTAGTCTACAAGCAAGCTTCAAAATACCACCAAACTAAGACCAGTAATCTAAAATAATATTCTCAACACTCATCACATTTTTCACATTTTGCTTCACAGTTGAAGATTGGCAATTTGGAATGTTCATATGCATATAGGATTGAAAATACCTGACAGTGTGTGCAGTATATTTCCGCAAACAGTTGAATCCATATCCTCCCCTCATACAAATTGATCTTCGAGTTCGCAGAAAATCTCTGACCCAGAGCAAGATGGGTTAAAACCTGAAGAAAGCAATTACAAAATGGCAGAGAAGATTTAAGGCATTTGCTATAGAGAACAAGTCAGACCTGATTAGTGTTGAGAATCAAATCTCTGAAACTGATTTCATGTACAATAACACTGTCGATTTTCAATATAGTGGCAAGTCAAGAATAAAGTCTGTGCCAGTAATACAACTAGCACGTAAAGACATTAAGTGAATACAGTTCCTGTGGGAAGTGAATTTTCATGGATGCCAAAGACAAGCTTATCTATACAACTTCTAGCCTCACAAAAATCTTACAACTCTAATATCAAGATGACTACAAACAGTACCAGATTCTCTACAACTTCATACAAACATGTCATCTTATCCCAGTTGCAGGTGGCACTTTCGGGTGATCGGAAATATCTATATCAATGAGGTTAAAATCATACGGCACTGAGACAGGGTTAGACACACCCCTGAGCAATGAAGAATCTTGTGTCTCAGATTTCACATTGCTTGATGTCCCACTACTATTTCGAGCACTGCTAGCTGCAGACAGTGCTATGTCATCCGATGACTTGCTCCCAAATATGGGCTTGTTTCTTCTGACTGTATCCATTTCTGGTCCAGTTGGAACAAAAGTACGAGCCCTGTACTTTCTAGCTCCTTCATCACCGTCATGGTTGTAGAGTACATAATCATGATAGGTAGGTGCAAACTGTGCAAATATAAACATAAAGATCATGAAATACATACTTGCATCAGTAAGGGAATAATGTAGACATCAGCAAAGACTTCATTCAGAATAGAAGAAAATGGCACCCTAGAATACTTCAGTTCCTCAAATAACAATCTTTACCTGGTGTACAGTATCATGATAGAAGTCATTTAATTTTAATGCATGTGCAAGACTTGCAGCAAGACCACGATTTGGACCAATGTTTGCGCCCGCATACTCTTTGTATGGAAACGCATAAAGATGACCGACAGCAGCAACAAGCATCTCAACACAAACTATAAAATTCTGAAATTCAGCAGCTTCTTCTGTATCTTTTATTAGTCCAGACTTTGCAGCAAGGAAAACCAGTACTCCCTGCAAGTGATGTTCTTGAAACTTAAGTCATAAAATCTCTCATGTAAGTTTAGCCATCAAGCCCAATCCAGATATCAAACTTAACGCTGATGAGAAAATAAATATCCTAACTGATGCTAGCTACAAAGTCAAGGTGAAAGCTCGAGAGGAAAGTGGTGGTGTTAATAATGAACAATAAAATGCTGAATCCTGATATGAGGCAACAGCATATACAATTCAGAAGATCATTTTCTTCTAAAAATGCCTCTAATGTTGTAGTACAGTTCAATAGGTTCAGGAGGGGACAAACTTTCAATAAGTTGGGATGATAAAATACGAAGACTCAAACTGAACCAGCAGTCAGTTCAGAAGCTAGATTCTGAATGGTTTTGCAATATAATCTCCAATATAATTTCCCTAAAGACTTGTGCCATGATACCAGATGACATAGAGAAGCGCATGCCAGACATAGCACTATATCATCAGCAAACAAAATCTTTCTCAATCAAAAATAAACCTCAAGAACCTACTACAGTCTACACTAAATCTATTCAACTTAATAAAGGCTGTAAGGTCTGGTAAGCTCATAAGGCAGATAAGGAGATTATGTTCAATTGTTAGCAGCAGAAATTGGCTTGAACATTTTAGCAATGACAATTTAATTTCATATCAAAAGAAATACTTATGTCATTCATGCCACCCAAGATCGTACCTGCCAGTAAGTAAGAAATACCACAGATTTGATTATGATGAACTTGGGCACTGGATTGAATGGCTGAAGCAAATCTCTGCAAGCCATGTAAAATAATGCCAAAGCATAAAGTGCCACTGAGTATGAGACTGTATAGATAATGGTAAGGTAGAGATAGGATTGACTTGGGCTGAAATTCCCATCATGATATTTCCCCTTTGCATATAGTATAAAAGTCACAGCAACTAAAATGGGTTTGAGGATGACAAACTGCAAACACCCTTGCTTGCACCTTCGTATGAAGCGCCTGTATGAGAGAACAACAAGAAGTCCACTTTAGTAGGAGTCACATTCAAGTCTATTATCCAACACATTCTAAACGCTTTTAGACCATGCCTACAATTGCAGTCATCCTTGGGGCTTGGGCAATTATTTAATCCATACTTACTCATTTGAGTAGGTAAGAGTGAGAGAGAATTGATGCACCAACTCATGTAAAGACATTTCTTAATAATAGTTAAATAGGAAATCTCATATCCAACAATGAATCTTTATTTATTATTTATTTAGTTTGGTATGCTTATAAAAACATCAAAGGGTAACCATTGTACAAAATACATATTAAACTAAATCTTTCAGTATAAGAGAAAATCGTAAGCATATGCAATTAGTCCAATTAATGTGAGTTACCCATCCAAGGGAATAGGGGGAAAACAGCATGTCATCAAACACCAATTTGGCTTCAGAACTTTTCCAGTAAGACTCAACACAACAGCGCCTGGTCCACCTACCCATGCTAAGCACAGGGAGAGGAAATTATAAATGACCCAAGCTTCATACCTGCAAAGACAAAATTTGAAGTTAGGAAATTCATGAAGCAACTGAGATGGACCACAATTGCTTAGGATTTTCAGGACAAGTAGAGCATTGACAGCTAAGACAATAACATCACATCACATCCATACATGTAACACATAGTCACATATATCTACCTCAAAGCAAGGAGAGAAATTCGGAAGCATCACCACAAAGAAACAAATTATTGAAGGATTTACACCAACCACGATACATCCTGGTTTCCATTATACATTTACCGGTAAAATATGAACACCAAGAACAAGAACAGCAACGACCAGAAGCTTTTAAAATAGATGATAAAATAAAATAATTAACAAAAACATGTATAAATAAAAAATTAATCCACAAACTTAGATGGAATTTTAGATTGCATGCTCTGTAGTTAAAGAAGAATCGATTGCTAACTATAGCCTTGTATGAAGGGTATTTGTTTCCTGAACTCGTAGAATGCCACTCATGAGTGAGGAACAATTCACCAGGTATTTGAGGATAGAAAGCATAGTGCACTTAGTATCATTTATGGACGGCATTAAAGAAAGCAATTCTCGTTTTTCATCAAATTACAGTTCATTGCTGATGCTGATAAAGGCCATGCTTGGTGTGAACCTTTTTAACCACCCAAACTAATATAATGCTACAATTGTACATTAATTAGCCCTAGCTCACGATTGCACAACAAATAACATAGCATCATAACTCAGTCAGATTTCTGCCAACAAAACAAATGTACTATTTTGGGTCATAAATGTGAAACATGGCCATCTAGGTATAAATATTAAATCGATCGCAAAATTAAACGGAAGATATGATAATAACATTATAAAAAGACAAATAAGCAGCAATGAGTTCTAAAATCACAAAACAAAAGAATGAAAGCATAGCATTACTTACACTTCTCTTACTGAATTGAAGTAAATAGCTTTTTTATTTAGGACAAGGGCTAGGAATGACATCAATGCATAAACCTGTTGGGAAAACAATTTCAAGATAATCAGAATGAGTTCTTCAGTAGATCATTATAACACAAAATCTCAAATAAACCTCAAAAGTGTAAATGCTAACAAGCCAATTAACAAGTTTACATCTGCATCCTTAAAGACGTCCACAATATTCTTTCTATGTTGTAGATCTCGCTATATAAAGATGCAGATTTTTACTTTTTTTTTGTACCTTCTATTTTTATCCTATTAGCCAACAGAGTTTTATGAATTTCTTCAAAAAGATGTTCTCTAGCTTATCCTTGATCAAGCAACATTCTGTGTCCTGTCCTGTTGTTCTACAAACATAAGTCAATCATCCTGTTCAGATGAACTGTCTCAAATTCACTCCTAGGAATATAATTCCCAATGGTGTAAGGACCTATAGCTTCTCTCTGCCTTTTTAACTATACTCTAACAAGTCAGAGAGGTTGAAAGCACCAAGAACAGTAGCCAGCATCAAATTCAAACCTCTACTCCCAATTCATATTCAATGATATTGCTAGCCACTTGATCGTGTTCCTTACTCTAGTTTCAAACCAGTCGCCAAATGAAGCCAGAATTCTAATCCCTATATTTTTTTAACAAAAGGATTTAAAATAAATTAGGACACCAAAAATCAACGAATATTTGTAACAATAGGACTTAGAACATACCACCAGAGAAGTGGTTAAGGCAGAAAAAATGATAAGCAAAACATGCACCCCCATTCTAATGGAATACCCCAAAAAGCAGACATCTATACAAACTTCTTCAATTAAAGAGCACATAACATATATTCCTGCTGGTTATATGATAAACAGAGACTGACATATCTGGAGTTCAATAATGGATAAAGTTTAAAACAAAGAAATTTCACATGCATTTGATCTAGGTCATATTCTGCCAATAATCAATTTAGTGAGTTGTAGAATCACGGAAGAGTTTTAATAGCGAGCAGCACATCCTTCAATTTCAAAAAACATTATTGCACAAATTAATAAGACTAAGATATGAACTACTCACGGGAACCATAAAGATAATCCTGACAATGTATCTCTGATATGTTGGCTCAGTATAATTCAATAAATGCTTGTGAATGTGTGAAATAGCCAAAGTCATTGCCCCGGCCGTGCAAGGCAATGCTATCAATATGTAAAACAATGGCCCCATGTGGCCAAGAGTCCAGGCTGCAAACCACAAGAAGAGTCTTGTCTTGCCCTAACCCTAAGAACCCAGTAATACCTACAGAAATTGACAAGAAACACATAACACCAAATTAGAAATAACCATCCTAAGGAAGAAAAAACCATCCAAGGAATAACCAAATCCTTCAAAAACTCCAAATAAACAATACACAAACCTAAAATACCAAGATAAACTTATTCGCCCTCGGCTAGATTACATTAAACTCAGCCACCAGGCATTTACCAAACCTCCTTCCCCAAATGCATCAGAAACTCGTAAAATCCTAACCCCCTACGCAAAAACAAAATTCTCCTCGGCAATAACCCAAAGACAGCACACCTAATAATCACGGATCGCAATCTGTTCAGCAAAACGAGAAAAAAAAAATGAAGTTAAAGCTAGCGCAAAATCCCTAATCCCGAAACCAAAACAAAAAAAAAAAAATCGAGAAACTAACTGGACGCGTATCCACGCAATATCGCCGTTTGAATCCACAAAACCCGAAATGGACACGAAAAATGAAAAAAATAAAAAAAGGGTTCCGCCTTACCGATGAAATCGAGTGAGGGCTTCGGCAGTTAATCAGGGAAGACAACAAGAAATTATTGATCAAGTGCAAACAAGGAACGAGTAGATCTGTCGGACGCCGCAACCGCAGAGGCGAAAGCGTGCGCGGCGATGAAGAAACGAAGAGGAAGATCAAAACTAATAATGGCAGCTTCTTCTCGCCTAATCATTTCCCTCCTGCTCTGCTGTCCTACCTTTTTTATTTATTATTTATTTAAAAATAACAAAACGATTAATTAAAATTGAGTTATTATAACGATGATGTATGCTTTTTTTTTAACTTTTTTGTAATTTTGTATTCTCGTCGTCTCATTTTTTTTTTTATATAATTATATATTTTAATTTTATTTTAAATTTTTAAATTTAATTTTTTTATTTTAATTAAATTAATTAGTTATTTTAATGTTAATTATTTTTTTAATATATTATTAATTAATTATTAATTATATTTATCATAAATTTTCATATCTACAGTTTCTCAAACATCCAAAGAAATAATATTTATTCTCAATATTTTTTTAAAAAAATTATATCATTTTGAATATTATACTATATATTAAAATTGTATATTACTATTCTAGAAACAAAACCTTTAATTCCTGCCTTTTTATATATTTATTTTTTAAATAAAATATTTCTTTAATATAATATTTAAAATAAATAACAATTTGATAAAAAAAAATAATAAATAACAAACTCTAATTTTTATTGGCATAACAATATTCAATTCATTCATTAGACTTGATCTAAACTAAAAATTACATATAAGAGATTAAAACAAACATATTAGTCACTACTAATTAACATATTCATTGAATTTGACCTAATTAAGGAAGGAATTGGGTGTTGATTCTAAAAAATCAGCACCCATGTTGATAGTGTAAAAATTAATTATACAAATTTATTTTATTAAATTATATAATTAATGTAATTATATGTAATCACATTTAGTATTTACACTATCAGCATAGGTGCTGATTTTTTTTAAGAATCAGCACCCAATTCTCTTCCATTATAAAATTACATTTACTAATATGTCTAATATTTTATTCTAAACAAAAATTACATATATAAGAGATTAAAACAAGCATATTAGTCACTACTAATTAACATATTCATTGAATTTGACTTAATTTTAGAATTACATTTACTATGTCTAATATTTTATTCTAAATATTAGTAGCATTTATTAAAAATAGTTAATATCTTAACTTATGTACTATTATACAAAAATGAAGCAACTTAACAAATAGCATCTATTAAATACACATGCAATAATTTCCCTAACAATAATTGACAAAATTTGATTTTAATATTTAAATCGACAATAATGATTAAAGATTCTGTCAGCTTTGCAACTTGTGCAACTTTTCGTTATTTGGCTTCCTTTCGCAGCTTTCGCTCAACCTTCTCGATCTCAAGATTAAATATCAGTTCACCTGTACAAAAAGAACGGGGCATAAACATGAGAATAAATAAAAATAACACAAAAGAGTAAAACAAAGCGACAATCCCCGGCAACGACGCCAAAAATTGACCTATCGTGCAATCAATCAAATATTTCACATATTCTGTGATCACAACTTAATGTAATAAGGGTAGAGGATTGTCTCCACAGAGATTGTGTGATTCACTCTTTTGTGTTCTAATGCAGTAAATAATTGGGGGAAATTTTCTTTTATTATCAAATGAAAATAAAACAAGAAAGCAATTAAATTAAGGGAGAATTACCTATTAAGGGATGTATGGTTCAAGGAATGATGCAGTTATGACACTTATTGTGTTTTATCATTGATTCAATAAAGTTAGTTTTTATTAAGGTATCAATAAATTAGTTATAGTTATCAACAAGCTCTGACAGCTAATTTTTCCTTACATTGTAAGTAATTAAGGTACGACCGTTAACTACCCCTAATTAAGCAAATAAAACTATGTGTGCCCATAAGAAATATTGTCTAATTGCATTCTAATTTAGAAAAATCTAATTCAAAACAATTACTACCTAAGATGAACAATTAGATTTGATCGTCTAATCTCAGAGAAAAAACTATTCCACCTGGTTGTCACCTATTAAAGTGCGAATATAATTACGGATATCCCACCTGAATTGACTTTAGATTATCAGACTAATTCAAATATCGGTACTAAAATATTCAACCAATCTAACAATTACAAACGTTATTATCAGAATTAGACAAATATTGATAATTTAAAAGAACTTTTATAAAGAAAATTAAGAATCTCCAAAACAAAAACACCAAAACATTATCATCCCTCAAACCAGAAAAATATCTACTCCATGATCAAAGAACAAAGAACAAAAGAGAAAGATAAAGTCATAGTGGAGGGGAAATCTTCTCTGTCAATTTGCTCATGCGCTATCTATGAGTCTGTGAGTTTTCTGCTCTTGTCGTATCTGCTCTGGTCGTTCCCCTCCTCTTGTGCGCATATGCTCTGGCCGTTCTTCTCCTCATGTGCGTATCTGCTTTGGCCGTTCTCTCATTTACTACGTGTGATCCTCCATTTTTATTTAATTTTTGCCCTAATTATTTTGTAATTGTGCTTTTGGGCCTTTAATTAAATTCCAATATCATGAGGGTATAGTTAGTCATGTTCATGACTAACTTGATTTTGTCCAATGCTGATTTTTTTTCTTTTATTTTTCTCTAAATTCACCAAAATTGTCTTTTATTTTATGCATGTCGGAAATAAACAATACGCACCGAAATTAGGAAGAATCTAATCAAAATCAATCAAATATCGCATATGATATGAACATAAAATACATGTGATTTCTAGTTATCAATTATAAGATTATAACCAATATCAATATAGAATTATTATATTGCACACATCAACTTTAAATACTTTAAATAAGTATAATAATACTGTATATACACTGAATTGTAATTAGATTCTTAGAATGGACAATATTCTCCACTTTACTTTTTCCCCTTCAGACAAATTATAGGAATCTCATAAATTAAAAGGGATCAGAGGGTATTTTTTATTGGTAATTTTTCTATATTTCGGTTTTACTTATTTATTTTGATCAAATATTTGGATCAGTGTTACAAAATTGTAAATATTAAATAATAGAAATAACACCCCATAATTACTATAATACATTTGCAGTATATATGTTATGTAACACAAAATAGGTAACTGTTTACGGCACAATTTTATTTATATATGGTTTGTCTTCAATGATTATTTGAATGAGAATGAAATTCGATAAGTAAACAATTATATATAGTACTTTATAATACACTATAAATAATTTATAAATTATAGTCAATCAATTATCTCATCATACCCTATTAGTAACACATCAAGGTATATTTTGTTTGTGTGAGTTCTTAAATAATTCTCAATAATTTATTTTTTTTAATATATTTTCAATAAAATAAAATTTATTTAAAAATTTAAATTTTATATTAAAAAGAAGGGTTTAGAATTTTTTGAAATTTTATTATTAGTTACTGAGAATGTTAAGTATTATTAGGGTGTGTTTGTTTTGGGATTGAATTTTAAATATACTATTCATTTTATTTTTTCCCTAAAAATATTAAATTAAACACCTATTTTTTATTTTTTATTTTTTATATTATACTAAAAATCAATTTTACATTCAAAACATCACATCAACACATATTTATATTACATCATACAATTATTAAAATTCAAATTTTTTACTATTCAAATCCCAACATAAAATCCAAACTCCCAAACAAACACACCCTTAAAATAATTAAATATGTTTATTTAATATTTATAATTTTAAATATTTTATGATCTTGTATGTTTATTTAATATTTATAATTTTAAATATTTTTATTATAAAATCATAAAGGTTTGTTTTTTCAGTCAAAATTGCTAAAATTATATAAATAATATAAAAACAATAAAAACGTATAATATATTAATATGTTTTGTAGAAATTTATTTTTGAGAATTGTGATTTTGAATCCACCGAAAAAAAAAAACATTCTTAATTTTTAATTTTTATTTTTAATTCAAAATACTATTTTTACCATTTTCGTACGTATCATTTCAAAATATTTATTTTTTATTAAAAAAAAAGTATACATTAATACTAAAATATCCTTAATTTTTACTTAAATTACAAACATACAATTACTTTGTAAAAAAAATAAAATGGCCAAAATATCAAAATATTATTATTTTTTAATTTACTACCAAACATCAAATATTTATTTCAAAAGTGACGGAGAAAGTATTATTTTGCATATATAGTATTTTTTATATTTTTAGAATATCGTAAATTATTTATTTAATATTTAGTCTGATGTATTTTATTACATAAACTATAAAATTATATCGAGAAAATAAAAAATAAAATTATATTATATTAAATGTTAATTTTTTATTAATAAATATAAAGTATTATTTTATATTATAAAACAATAATATTAAAATTTATTTAATGTGTTTTTTTTTGTTTTGCTCTAACATTTTTTTTCAAAAAAAAATTAAGACATTACATACATTATTATTTTATATTAACTACACAATTTCTTATACTTCATATAAAAAAAATTAAAATAAATTATTTCACAAAATAAACATACTAATTCATAAAATAAAAAGAAATTCAAATTCAATAAACTTATAGTTGTGTAGTTTGATTTTGTTAATTTTGAATTGAAATAATTATCTAATTAATATAATATTTTACTAAAAATGCAAAATTATAAAAGTATAAATTCATACTTAATAAATTTGGTCATATGACACAATTCTTCATTAATGCTATAAATAAAATACAAAGGACATTAACACAATATATATGATATAATATCTTATTCATTTATAAAATATTTAACAATTCAATATAAAATATTATTTTTTATATTAATTAATGAAACAATTCTTCGTACTTAACGTTAAAAAAAACTCATCAACCAAAAACATAAAATAAAAATATATGTTAATGGTTTAAAATGGACATAAAATAAAGCAAGACAAGGCTCGAAACCGCAAAAACCCTAATGGAAAGACATGTCATGAAAAGGTAAGAAGGGATTAATAAATAAAACACATTTATTAATTATTGTCGTTGTTGTAGAAGCTATAAAGCATTTGTGTTAATGTTCTTTACTTGGATCATTTACTACCATTCGTTTCTTCACTCCATAAACATTCTTTCCTTTACATTCCTTCCATCGATCGTACCACAAATGTGTCCCAATTCATACATTATAAGTGTCTCCCAATCCCAATCCCGAGCCATTCCTCGTATTTGTCATCATCGAGCATGGCGGGGGGTAAGTCGGAGCGCTCGTTCGAGTACACGCCGACATGGGTTGTGGCTGTTGTCTGCTTTGTCATTGTATTCATCTCGGTCTTGGCCGAGCGTGCACTTCACCGCCTCGGAAAGGTACTAACTAATACTCATCATGTTATAAAGTTCATGTTTACGGAATATTTTATAAGAAAAAATAGTATATTGTAAATATATGTATATATATTAAAAATAAAATAATAATAATAATAATAAATGAACAAAATAGATTTAAACGAGAATTATTGATTAACTATATAATATATAATAAATTAAGAATCAAAAATTATAGTAGGTGGGGATATTTATTCTTAAATATCCATTATAATTATGCATAATTCATTTATAGTAGTAAGTTTACTCACTCATAATTTTATTATTTTTATTTTAACAAATAATAATTAATTTATTGTTATTTTTTTCTACTTATCACATTACTTTTTTGTCAACTTTTTAATAAATTTTATAAAATACCACAATTTTACTTTTTACATACCTCATTTTATATTAAAATATTATTATTTTTTTAATATTTATACCCAAACAAAATGACATAATTAGCGCGAATGGAAGAAATATATAATAATTTTTAAAATTGCATAATATGATTAAAATTATAAAAATTTACAAACATAACAAATTTCGATTTTATAGATTTAAGAATAAGTATATTTTAATAATTAAGCTAAATGTTCATATTAATATTTTTTGCTCCCTCCGTCCGTCAAACTTAGTTACATTTCCTTTGTAATTTATAAAGGAAGAATAACTAAGTTAGCAGAGATAGGGAGTATTAAATTATTAAAAACAACTCATTACTTAAAATTTTAAACTCATTGTTCAAATTTTAAAAATTATATTTATAACACAAAAAAATACCTATAAACAAAAAATTAAAATTAGCTAGTTGGGGGCTAAATACCACTAGTCCTCTGCTAGCTCGCTAAAAGAAGATGATTATTTAACATGTAATGAGAGTCGGAATGTCCTATATTCGAGTTGCAGTACCCTTCATTCATCATCATCTATGGTACAAAATTTGTATGTAATAATTCTTTTCCATGAGAAAGTGGTAGGTTGAGTACATAATATGCAATAAATGACCATATTCCTCTAAGCTTTAAACTTCTAGATAGGATGTTTATTTAATAAGAACAATCTTACATTTTCATATGTATTATACGTGCGTAGTTGTTCAAGAAAAAGGAGCGAGCATTGTTCGAGGCGCTACAGAAAGTAAAGGAAGGTTCGTCGATGGATGTCTCCGAAGATAATGTAGGTTTGCATCCAAAAGGATCAATATTCTTGCACGTACTAATCATATTTTTTTGTGAATTTACGCAGAGCTGATGCTTTTGGGATTTATCTCCCTTCTCTTGACGGTCTTTCAAGGTTTGATAAGTAGCTTTTGCATCCCAGAAAATATGGTGAACATCATGCTCCCGTGCAAGTTGGAAAATCCCGAGCATTCAACTCCCAAGCATCAAAGAAGGCTTCTAGCTGAGGCAGCAGATTCGAATAAGTGTGCTTCGGTATGCATTTTCGCAATACACCAAATAAATAAAATGACAACTTTTTAAGTCAAGGCTTCCGGAGGGAACTTTGTTTTCGTATCTTTTGACAGGGATACACTCAGTTTCTATCGCTCGAAGCGTTGCATCAGTTGCATATATTCATATTTGTTCTGGCTGTCGTGTACGTGATCTTTTGCGCCTCGACTATGGTTCTTGGAGGATTCAAGGTACTTCTAATGGAGCCGGTGCAATGATGGATAACATTAGGACAACTTTAACCCAGTCTTTATTTATTAACAGATTGGTCGATGGGCTCATTGGGAGCGCTCGATTAGAAATGAAGCATCAAGACACCATAGGGGTAGACAAGCTTAATTTATGCTATTCGAACATATAATTTCATTGAATGATCCTTCTCATCTTTTTAAACAGCCTTTGTTCCTCATATCGACCTTCTAAACTTCATGTCGCGAACGGGCAACTACTGGAGAAGATTTTCAGTTGTCAGTTGGACGGTAAGACCCTTACAACTTTGGAGGTTTAACCATTTTATTCATAGCCGGATGAATAAATCAAAATATTCGATAAACTTCATATAGGTGGCGTTCTTTAAGCAGTTTTATGGTTCGGTGACTAGAGCAGACTACACGGCGCTTCGTGCTGCATTCATTCAAGTAATGTTTCTCCTTTCGAGGATTTGTATCATTGGTCAAGAACTTGAAATTTTACTGATCTTGTCCTAATGCAGGAACACTGTCCAGGAAATCGGGATTTTGATTTCCACAAATACATGCGAAGAACATTGGAGCAAGACTTCAAGAAAATAATCGGAATTAGGTGAATCGATACACTTTAATTTGTAGCATTCGAATGAAAATTTTTACTAAATTCATCGATCGCCTTTCTGCAGCTGGTACTTATGGTTGTTTGTCGTGATGTTTTTGCTGTTAAACATAGCTGGTGCAATTCTTAACTTTTACTATTTCAACTACAAATGCCCGTTATTAATTGAATGCTAAATCATTGGCGCTTACATGTTTCAGGGTGGCACGCGTACTTCTGGCTATCATTTTTGCCTCTAGTAGTAAGTCGGGACCAATGTATCGATATAGAGTTGTCAAAAGAATCGAAAGAAAGAATCATGGAACGATTTTAACTAGTTTGTGTTGGACTATTTTCAGCTGCTACTAATTGTTGGAACGAAATTGGAGCACATAATCACCGAACTCGCGCTAGATGCCGAGAAAAGAGACAATGACGCTGAAGGAACGCCACCGATTACCTTGTCCAATGAACGATTTTGGTTCAGTCGACCGGCTCTCATCTTGTACTTAATCCATTTTATTCTGTTCCAAAACTCGTTCGAGATCGCCTTCTTCTTCTGGATTTGGGTGAGTAAAGTTTAATCTAGTAGAAATATGCATCATTAACCTCACGTACAAGGTGAATAAAAGTTTAAACTAGTAGAAATATGCATCATTATATACACATATAATCTACAATATGTTTGGTTTAGTCAAGTCGAGTCTTGACGAGCTCCCATGTTTCCAATGTCTAGAGCACTTATGGCTTCAACTCATGCATCATGGAGGGCTTGCATTTTCTTATTCCAAGACTTGTAGTCGGGTAAATCTTCAACCATTATTGAATGATTCGAGATGAATACGACCGTGTTTATGTCATAACGGTCTTATTGATTGCAGGGTCATCGTGCAAGTACTTTGCAGCTATAGTACCCTACCATTGTACGCTTTAGTAACACAAGTAAGAGATTAGATTAAAAAAAAAAAATTGTATTAATAAATTATATGGATTAATAAAGTAATATTAGAAGTTATTAATATTTGTATTAATAAATTTTATAATTATATAATTCATTAGAATAATATTAATAATTATAATCACTTTTTGCACGGATGATTTGATGCAGATGGGAAGCATGTTCAAGCAAACTCTGTTCGACGAGTTTTCGCAAGGCCTCATCTTAGATTGGGTTAAAGCCACGAGATCCCGATCGACCCATGCATCAATCACGGAACCAACAACTCCGGACAACGGTTTGGCTGTCCGGCCGACAGATGATGGTGTAAATACAATCGAACTTTGTCGTGGGCGGACATCCTCCTCTTGAAAAAAGCATCATTCTTCGGAGATAAGACAACATAGCCGTATTCATTCTCTTAAATGTAGAGTGAATGTGAAGTAGGAAAATTATATGATAAACAAGATAATCTTTCCTATTATAAATTGATAAGTTTGTTTTTTTGGTAAATTATATAACATCCCCTTGTGTTTTTACTAAAAATGTACAAAACACTTATTTATTATGAGAAACTCCTTTATGTTAATAATGTAAAGTTTGTATAAAACACCATTCTTGTTCAAAACTGATGTTTGATTCTAAATAGAAACCTAAATTGCGCAAATTTTATACAAATAAAAAATACAAAATATCTTAAATAATATTTTTTTAACAAGGATTTTGAACCACCACTTTATGATCATTAATTCACCACCACAAATTCTAACATACATCAAATTGTTTCCTAAAAACATTCTCAAATAATATTAGTGGGCCGACCCGACGGGCCTATGCATAAAAGGCTAGAATATGACAGGTGGGTACTAAATAAAAGAGTTAGTCTCCTCACCTTCCTGTCCTCACTATTGCCGATCGACAGCTAAAGTCAAATTTTATTAATATTTTTGGAACTTCTGTGCCTTTATTTATTAAAGTAACTATCTGCAATCACTGTCGGTGTTTAATCTAATTATAAAATCAAAATATATAAATGTTAGCGTGACTTGCAGTGGGGCTAATTTGTAGGTATTAGCTTCGACCATATGTTTATTCATAATGCAATTGAAAAATAACGATGGCAAATTTTTATATTATTAAAATATATATTCAACATATTATTTTTAATTGTTTTTGTCTATATTTGAAAGTATCATTTTTTTTATTATAGTAAAAATAATTATATATATATATTATTGTATTGCTTAAATTTTTTATCATTTTTTTATTTGATATTATTGAAATTCTGCAAATATTTAAGTAAGCCATATCCTAACAGTAATCTTCTTCATTAATAATCAATGGGTTGATTACCTTTTGTTTGCAATGATTTATGGATTATATTTAAAATGATAAATAATAATAATAATAATTGAAGCAAATACATAAAATTGTAGAATTTTGAAATATCTTAAATTAGAAATACTAATAATAAAATGTTTTAATCGAATGAAAAGTATAGTTTTATTTAATATTAGATGAACTATGCATGAAATATAGTATTTGATTGATCTGCTTTATCTTTAGAATTACAATTTTGTTTGTAATAAATTTCTGATATTATTTTTGTATGATTCAAATTAGATGATCATAATAAATTAGTATGCACACAATCTCTATATATAATGAACGCATTATGGATTTATTTACTATATATGATCCATACATTGTTATGAATTTAAAATACAAATACATGTTTGATTTAATTTTTACACTATTAAATTTATATATAATGTATTATTATTATTTTTAAATCACATAGTTTATATTATAGGATTCATTACTTATTTTTGGGTACACTGAAAGCAAATACAAATAATCATACGTCATAAATAAGTCATAGGAAAATATTCTATCTCACTTAGCAAAAAGACACCATGAATGTTTTGTATCCTATTCTTCAGTTGACACGTAAATTCTTCGAATGACACATTAATATATATATATATATGTATATATTCATTTATTTATTTATTTCTAAGAATGAGACTTGAGACGCTACAACAATAATAAATAAATCAAAAATGTTTTGATTATATTTTTATACTATTATATATTGACATTTATTAAAAAAAAAAATGTGAACAAACCAATATTATTAACTTTATATACTTATTACATTTTTTTTAATAAAAAATATTATTTATTTAATAAAAATATACATAAATACAAAGCAAACAGGACGAGCATTCTATCCGTTTGGTGCGGTGGGAACATTTGTAGTGCCAATTAAGCAAAGCTATATATTATACTGTCAGTAATATTAAATAAAAATAAAAATAAAAATAAAAATACTAAATAGAGAATCTAACTCAAGAAAGAAAAAAGTTTAAGCAAGCCCATGATGCTACACTTCGAATTCCTACTTTATTATAATAATTATTATTATTATTATTACTATTATTACTAAAAGCACAGTGATTAATCTTATGACTTACGAGAGTACAATACTAGCAACTTTAATGAAGTAATATAAATTTCAAAGTACGAAAAGCTAATGGTGAAAGAGTTCTAGAATTTTAAAATATATTAAAAAATTAATTGTTGAATGAGATATAAACATATAAATATTATTCTCTCAATCTTCATTCAAATTAGTCACTTGGAGAAGTTTATTATACATTTAAAAATTATAATATTTTACAATAAAAATAAATAAATCTTAGTATAATTATTTTAATATAATAAAAATAAATATTTTTTACAAAAATAATAAAAAATATATATACTTATAAGTATATTGAAAAAAATACTACTCTATTTTATATAAATAATAGTACTCATCCGTCCAAATAAAAAATATACATTTATTTTTACCACAGAATTTAAAAATTAATAATATTTTAATTATAGTGAATAAATAAAAATAATTTAATAACAATTTTGTCATTATTTTTTGATATAAAAGTACTAATATGATATAAAGTAAATACATTTATAAAAAAAATAAAATATTTAATAAAATTATTACTTTATAATTAGATATTTCAAAATAAAAATATTTATAATTTTTTAGTTAAAAAAAAAAAGAAAGAAAAAAAAGAAAGGGGCAAACACAAAGCCGTAGCTTTAAAAGACAATGAAAAAATGTAGAGAACCAGTAAGAATGGGACAGGCTGTCATTGTCTGTTAGTGGACACGTCATTTTCATCCACCCGTTTTTACAATTATTACAGACTGACAGGCAAGTGCAAGATAATATGATAAGAGAGTACTAATCACCCACCTAATCAAAGACCCTACTAATAAAAAATAAAAATCGATTCTTTGCAAGAAGTCACATATACATACACGCATACGTACAGATACAGCAACTTCCCAACCCAGCTAATAACACTAATAATTTCTTTTATTTTTATTTTTATTTTTATTAACTCAATATTATACATCCATCGCTGGATTCGTCTCTCCCACAAAAGTCGACCAAAGTCCTATTTTCACACCCCCAAAATTAAAAAAATCAGGAGCACCCATTTCCTCTCACTCTACCTTTACTCTTCCAAGAACTGATTTCCCTCTTCAATTTCGGATCAAAAATCGCAGCTTGTTGGATTTCACCTGTTAATTTTTTAGGGTTTTTAGTTTTAGGTGAAAATTTAATTTAGGGAAGAGATGAGCATGTACGGGCGGGATCCATGGGGAGGGCCGCTGGAGATTGCGGCGGACTCCGCCACGGACGACGACCGGAGCCGGAACTTGCAGGACTACGACCGGGCGGCGCTGTCGCGGCCGCTGGACGAGACCCAGCAGAGCTGGCTTCTGGGCCCCGGCGAGCAGAAGAAGAAGAAGTATGTGGATCTGGGCTGCATCATTGTCAGCCGGAAGATCTTCGTCTGGACCGTCGGAACTATTCTGGCCGCCGGACTTTTGGCCGGATTCATCACTTTGATTGTCAAAACAGTCCCCCGCCACCACCACCGCCCCCCGCCGCCGGATAATTACACCCTCGCCCTCAACAAAGCCCTAATGTTCTTCAATGCTCAGCGCTGTAAGTCTTTCCATATATATTTGGATCTGAATAATTAATAGGCAGATCAGATCTGTGGATGTATTAATTATTGTCGATTAAATTCGTAGCTGGGAAGCTGCCAAAGCACAACAATGTATCGTGGAGGGGTAATTCTTGCCTGAACGACGGGAAGTCAGATTCGTCGACGATATTCAAGGATCTCGCCGGCGGCTATTACGACGCCGGCGACGCGATCAAGTTCAATTTCCCTCAATCATTCGCCATGACAATGCTGAGCTGGAGCGTGATCGAGTACAGTGCCAAGTACGAGGCGTCGGGGGAGCTCGCCCACGTTAAGGACATTATCAAATGGGGAACGGATTACTTCCTCAAGACATTCAACCACACTGCCGACGAGATCGATCGAGTCGTCATGCAGGTACAATTGCAATGGATTGAATCTGTAAAATGTAGAATGTCGATTGAATTGTGTAATGATTTCAGTGATTGATCGAATGATGTCTAAATAATTTGTTGTCGGAAGGTCGGAAAAGGGGATTCGTCAGGAGGAACCGACGATCCTAACGATCACACGTGTTGGATGCGGCCGGAGGACATTAATTACGACAGGCCTGTCGACGAATGCCACAGCTGTTCGGATCTTGCTGCAGAAATGGCTGCGGCGTTGGCGTCTGCGTCGATTGTTTTCAAGGACAATAAAGCGTACTCGCAGAAGCTTGTGCACGGCGCTAGGACACTCTTTAAGTTTTCGAGGGATCAGCGTGGTAGGTATAGCGTCGGTAAAGAGGCCGCCACTTTTTACAACTCCACTGGATATTGGGACGAGTTTATTTGGGGCGCAGCGTGGCTTTATTACGCTACCGGGAATTCGTCGTATCTCCAGCTGGCTACTACTCCTGGCCTTGCTCGCCACGCCGGCGCCTTTTGGGGAGGCCCTTATTACGGCGTCCTAAGTTGGGACAATAAACTAGCTGGAGCGCAAGTATGTCTGATATTAGATTACGCGTATTTCACGCATTGCTTAAATGCTCGAGCTAATGAGTTATTGTTGATTCTATTTTGTTAGGTGCTTTTGAGTCGAATGAGATTGTTTCTGAGCCCGGGCTATCCTTACGAAGAAATTTTGAGCGCATTTCATAACCAAACCGGCATTTTTATGTGCTCGTTTTTGCCGTATTACACAACGTTCAATCGAACTAAAGGTAATAATTGATCTTTCTATTTTCAGGTTCATATGCTGCATTTGTATTGTGCTAACATAAATATATATCATCATCTCTCCGTCTCAATTCAAAGCATCATTTTTACCATTTTCGTCTATTCCATTTTAAACTATCTCATTCATATTTTAGAAAAAGTAATCATATGATTACCCAAACCTCGAAGGGCTCTTTTGATTTGGGACAGAAGGAGTATGTTGTTTGTTGTTATACAACGTGCGTTTCCGGAGTGTATGTGTTATTTAGTTTTCAATTATTGAACATGAACAGGAGGAATGATCCAATTAAACCACGGAGACCCGCAACCTCTTCAGTACGTCGTCAACGCAGCTTTCTTGGCCACCGTATTCAGCGATTATATGAAAACTTCCAACACTCCCGGCTGGTACTGCGGGCCTCATTTCTACTCATACGATGTCCTCAGAGAATTTGCGCAGACTCAGGTACCGTTTTCCCTGAAATTATTGCTCGATCATATTGGCGATTGTCGCGCTCACTTTGTGTTAAATGATTGTAGATGAATTACATCCTCGGCAAGAATCCGAGGAAGATGAGCTATGTTGTGGGGTTCGGTAATCATTATCCAAAACATGTCCACCACAGAGGCGCATCGATCCCTCGCGACAAGATCAAGTACACCTGCAAGGGAGGGCTGAAATGGAAGAACTCGAAGAAACCAAACCCTCACACTATCGTTGGAGCGTTGGTTGCCGGACCGGATAGGCACGACGGATTCCATGATGTCCGTGCTAACTATAACTACACGGAGCCAACACTTGCCGGAAATGCTGGTCTAGTTGCCGCCCTTGTCGCTCTCTCCGGCGAAGATGACGGCCGGATCGACAAGAACACGATGTTCTCGGCTGTGCCGCCAATGTTTCCGACGCCGCCGCCGCCGCCAGCTCCGTGGAAGCCATGAATGGTGCCTCTAAATTCCCACTTTTTGTTTTCGACAAACCCCGCCGGTCTGGCCTATAAATGTTTTAGGTAATTTTGGGAAAGATTCTTTTGAGGATTTAGGGCTGGTGTGGAGCTGCTAAGCTAACTGGTTTCTTGTCGACCCCATTCATGTGTGTCTGTCTGTCTCTATGTATATGTAAGAAAAGCAAATTAAACGACATATATATATATAGTAATATTCTTTGGACAATATTGACTTATATCTTCAGTCATTACATATTTACATAACAACATTGTATATATATGCATCAACGAAGCAAAAGCATTCGGGAACGTTTGATAGATACCATACGAACCTCAGGATCGGCGAATCCGAATTCCGGAGAGGCTCCGGCTAAAGATCGAAGCTGTGGCTGTTGAAATGAAACACAGATTGATGCTTACTTTGCTTAAGATTCTGCGTTCGACACTCTTTTGCGACACTCGTTTGAAGGGCGGGAGGACCGCACACCATAACGCCGATATCCACACTCCCCCAACGACTACACATCGATTCGAAGATCTCTGCGCCGCCAAATGAAATAGATTACTTCAAGATTTTGCGACAACACGTATATAATGTTAAGATTCGATCAAAACATACCTCCGAAATCCGGCCTCTCGCCATACCGGATACTGCTTACGTATTCTTGTTTGTAGTTCACAACCTCCTTCTGCTCGACAGTGTCTTCTTCTTGACAATCCGAAGATTTTGTTCCCCATAGATGCCATGCCCCGATCACCAGCCCCCCGAAGATGACAACGCCGGCGATCATGCAGGCGATCAGCAGAAGCCCTTTATACCACGAGTTCTTGATTTTGTAAGGTATTATGTACCATACATCTAACAAGGCTCTTATAACTATAAAACCGATGGTACACGCGAAGACGTACAACCCCGACCATATTGGGTTCCCCGTGCCGACCAAAACAGACATTCCGGACCGCCCGGAGGCGGCGAAACAAGTAGGCTTGACAGGCTCGATCGCTGGCTTCCCGTCTTCCTGCAGCCGATGCTCCAGATTGAGTTAAACGAAAATAAAGATGGCTAATTTACTAAGGAGGTGAATCGATTACCAGCGATGGTCCTGATTCGCGCGTAACGTAGGTTTGGATTTCAATGTTGAGGGAATCCGGTGAAGCCGGGTAAAGGGAGTCGATGCCGATGGTCTGGAGCAGGGGAAGCTCGTCGGACTTTTTAATCGCCCATACGATCAGTATCTTCCGCGGCAGGCAAGGCTTCCCGTCTTTGACGCGGTGGAGGACGTCGCTCAAGATAGCCAAGAACGGCGAAATTCCTATCCCGCCGGCGACTAATATGAGATTCTCATACCTAAAGAAAGAAACCATCATCAAAACATATCGAATCGAATTGAATCAGCTGAGACAAATCAGATACACAGACACATACGTCAAGTAGTACGGTGATTCATGACCGTAAGGCCCCTCAACCGACGCCGTCATTTTGGCACAGCCAGCGCTCGATATATGATTCTGCAGCCTCTCCGTCCAGTTTCCGAGGACCTTTATAAGGACCGCGATATGATTATTACCAGCGAGGGGAGTCGAGGAGACACTGAACGGATGCCACTGCAGCCACGACAGCTCGCGGACTTGAAGAAAGATCCAGCTGAGAGCGTTGTAGTGCAAATCTGCGGGATTGTCCGAAGGCAGACAACGTTAGAGGCCGAACATCCTAAGACACAAAAACACGACTACTTTTTACGACGGATAAAGTTTACTTGCGGGCTTCGAAAGAACGAGTTCCAGAGTCCCGCACGGGAAACATCTAGCCGAAAGAACTTCCACCGTCCTCCTCGACTGGCAAAACCTGAGGAAACGATCGACCAAGAAGAGGAGAACCCCTCCGGCGCAAAAACAGAAGACGCGCTCCCCGACGTGCAATGCTAAGCCCAACATGAAGACGATGTACAATTGGTGCGTGTAGAAGAAAAGCTCGAAGTTGCGTCTTCGTACGCCGGGAAGCGATGTCGCCCACAACGCTAGCCCCGCGATAAGGCCGATGACTCCTGGAAAAACGGAGACCCCCGAGCTATTCCACGCCATCATCTGCGCAAAAAAGCGATCGATTTTTTTTCCGTAACAATTACATTTCGATATATACATAGGCATCAACATCGAATGATGGCTATAATGTGGAGCTTAGACATACTTCTCGGGTGAGGCGCCTCTCGATCGCCCACGGAATCATATAAAAAAGGCCGTGGAGCGTAAACAGAGCCATCGTTAGATGTCCTAACCAGACATGATACCTCGTAGCGTGCTCGAACGGGATGTCGACGAGCCGGAGAAGCATCGATCCTCTTGCTATGGGCAGGAACAGAAAGGCTAAGCAAAATATTCCGATGGTTCCCAAACGAAGGCCTGTTAGTTCCATCATCAAAAGACTGAAAAACACATTTGAGTTACTACTGAGTTCATCGTTACAACAACTTTCGATCACAAAAAGATCGATTGAAAAACAAAACAGACATTGCTGTAATGACATACCTCGAATCTTCTTTGAGTGCAGCAAACAGAGGCAGAATCTGAATATTCTTCAGAGTGCAGGTGTAAAGCGCCCAGATAAGATAAACGACGAAGAGGAATATTCCGGCCAGCTCCGCCGCCGTGACGACGCCGAACGGCCCGTCCACCAGCACCGGGAAAGTCCACAGCCGGAACTGCGGATACTTCGGATTCTTTTTCCTAAAATTAGAAATTTATTACAATCAAATTAGGGGGAAAAAACTAGGTTAAATTGTGTAATAAGAAAGTGGTGCTGCGTACTTATGATTCTCATTGTTTCTGCTCAGAGCAAGATATGGAGTTGCAAGAAATGCAATGAGGACGACTGGGGCACTGAAGATCAGAAAAATAATTCCTGCGGGAGCAGAAGCCGATAAACAGATGTAATGATTTCGACAAAATTGATAAAGCAGAATCCCCAAAAGGAGTGTCCGAAAACCGACCTGTAACCACAGTAGTGTTCATCTCCGATTCCACAGCTTTCAAATACAAATCGCTCCCAAATTCACAGGGGAAGACGAAAATGGCGGCGACCCAGGCGATGAAAATTGCCGACATTGCCAATCGGAGAATCCATCTTCCCGACGAAAGCAAAAGGGGTTTTGTCTGAACATCCTCCTCCTGCCTGAACAGGAGAGGTTCCTGCGCTGATTTTGCATCCATTATTGTGCCCTAAAATCAGAGGAATCGGACGAACAGACAACCTCAGATCCGATGAAGGGAATAAAGGGTTTAATTTCTGGTTTTATTTGCGCCTCTGCCGAGGTTGTTATGAACATCCATCATTATAAATGTGTGTGCAGTTTTCTTTCTAGGAAGAAAACAAATTAAATCAAACGACTGTTGAGGAATTTGTTGGAATTTTCGTCGAGTTTGGAATAATGAATGTGAAATTGGAGTTTATTGCAGAACTCAGAGCCACTCACTCGAAATATGGGGGGCCGATGTAATAATGTGCTTTTCGAAGAGTGACAGGAATGGAAGGAGGAGACATAAATGTGATATAACGTGAGAGGAAAAGGAAAGGACTGATCGGAGCAACCTGCCATGGCGGAGAGGGACAGCGGAGCCGATGATCAGAATTATACTCCACAAAATGGAAGAGACGACAGAGAGAGACAGAGACGAGCTAATCGAGACAGTAATGGCGCATGTAATGTACGTACGTGAGCTCTAAAAATGTAATAATAATTATTTTTAGTAATAAGATTATAAAATAAATTTGAAACAAATGTAATACTAGCATTTAATATATATTTAATTATTAAAAATAATATCTAAAATTTATTTTACCTCACAATTTTAAAATTTAAAACACAAATAAACCATCCATTATATTGATAGATTGGCTAGGATGGAATTGCGTGGTTAATTGCTGTCCTAACAATCTTGTGGGTTCTATTTTTACAAAAGTAACAAATATATGGTTTTCCTCAAACCATTCCGTCAAGACAATGATGATAATAAATTGGTGTGTCATATTTATTTTAACAATAATGATAAATTAGACTCCAGAGTTATCAAAACTCACTACAAATAGTAGTGACGGTGTGGATTCCGTCGTAAAAAAAATAATAATAATAGAGTATATTATTTCGCAAGATGGCTACGGTTTCTTTTAATCAAATTTTTCAAATTTTATTATTTAGATTTTGCGTTTTTTAAACAAAATATTTTTTTTTATCTCATAAAATATTTCATTAAATATATTTTTTTTAATAATATTTTAATTATAATGTATAGTTAAAAGTAAGATAATGATAATTTTGTCCTTATTCTTTGGTACAAAAGTAATTATGTGATGTAAAGTAATGAGTTGTTTGGTTCAAGGATTTAACCAAATTCTATGATATTTGGATTTTAAAATTTCATTAAATCCATGTTTGGTTAAAAAAAAAGAGTGAAATTTAAAATGATGGGATTTTTAAAAATGGTCAAAAATCCTACAAATAAATTTTTTTTTTTGTAATGCCCACCTCTGTTACTTTTAAATCTCATTCTTGAGATTTTAATTTACTTTTATATCATCTTTTAAAAGAGATAATATTATATTTATATAAAATAAAAATTAAATAATTTTAAATTTAATTATTATTTGAATTATATATTTAATTAAACTTAAATTATTTTTTATGGTTCAAGATATTTTTTTAAATAAATTAATAAATTCATTGTTTATAATTATTATTTATTATAAATTTTATTTAAAATATATAATTATAAGCATGACAATGGGTCAGGTTCAATCATAACTGATATTCGTCCCGAATATATATTGTTAGATTCGAGTCTCAAATTGGATTCGATTATACTGGATCTGACCGAAACTATACCTGGTAAAACTGGGTGGATCCGAAAAATAATTTTTTTTTTACAATTCTTAAATTTTAATTTAAAATTGCACATATACTGGATCCAACATTTATTAAAATTTATGTACTTTATTAAAAAATATTTTAAATATAATTATATTTTGGAAATTATTTTCTTATATGTATAGTTGATATATTATTATTATATTATTTCGAACATGACCCAGACCCAGACCTTGTATTCAAATAATTTCATTCAACTTCAAATAAATATGTTGGGCCTGGTCGGGTATCGAGTTTACGCGAACCTATTATTATCCTATAAAATTATTGGTATATTTTCAATTTATATTAATAATGAACTAAAAGTTTAATTTATCAAAAATAAATAAAATTCATAGGAAAATAATTATGTCATTGAGAATATAAAAAATCTGAATCCTTCAATTCATATGAAAAACAAACCGTGAGAAATATAAATCTCACATCATTTTACCAATTAAACATAAGATAGATTCAAAATCCTAAATATAATAAATCCAATCACATATAAATCATACTGTAACATCTTAATCCTATCGAAAAAGTCCATGAACCAAACAACCCCTAAGAATATTTGTTTAAAAAAGTTGAGTATTTAATGAAATATCTACTTTATAATTAAATATTCAGAATAAAAATATATATATTTTTTTAGCCGGATGGATAAGTGCATTATAAATTAAATAAATATCCTCCAACTCAATTCTCAATTTACATTCAAGAGGCAAATATACTCTATAATTAATGTTACAACTTACGAAGATGGTTGAACATAATTGGGCCATCAATTCAAGGCCCAAATAAGTATCAAATAATAATATTCATCTCACTATCATTCTTAATACATAATACCCACATATAGTTAAGTCCGCCATATAATAATAATAATAATAATAATAATAATAATAATAATAATAATAATAATAATAATAATAATAATAATAATAATAATGTTTATTTAAGGTATTTTTTAATTTATCTGAGAAGACTTTTTGATTTATGAATAGTTACAAGAGAAATTAAAAATTTTCAAGAACCACCAAACGACATTTGCTATGTACTTTATTCTTCCTCTTTTCTACATTTTAATACAAAGTCCATTATTTGTTTTATTTGCATTAATTTATAGCCTATGAAAAATTTATGTCATGCAAAGAGATTGAACAAATTTATTTATTTATTATAATAATAGATGATTGAGGATAGAGAGAGAGAGAGAGAGAGGGGTTGACAAGTGACAATAAGGCAAAATGGTCCTAAGTCCTAAGGCAGGCACGGCGATGTAGTGGGCCACTTTGTTTGTATGGGCCCCCATTCTAGAAATGGCCCAATACTTACCCGTTTAACCATTGGCCTAAGACCTATGCCTATGTATGGACTATGGGGGTCATCGTTACCAAGTTTGACTTTGATTTCATACATGGCCCTTACATTCATAAAATTCTTCAATAAATAAAATAAAATTTTGGCTTTTATTCACTTTTATTTTTTATTTCAAATGATTATTATTATTATAAGATTTTTATAATTTTTCTATAAAAATATAGATGTTCTCCTAAGAAAGATAAAATATTACATTCAATTGTCCTCCCCTCCTTTTTAACCTCCCCTCCTTTTTAAACACCAGCCCTTTTAAACACCAACAATATTTAATTTCGGCACAGGAATTTAAATGAATAGTAGTTAAATAGGATAATTAGAAAATTGTATGGTGTAATAAGAGATAAAAATATATTTATTATTTTTATTTGAGTGATGCAATAAAATAAAATATAAGATAAATATTAAATATATTTAATTTTTTTTATTATTAAAAATTTGCACGGAATTTAAGACAAACAAAAAAAGAAGTATATTATTTCCTCAATTTTACCTTATTTGTTAAATTTACCGTAAATATAAGAATTTAGATATAGACAATGATATATAAATATATCACTAAAAATAATAATTATTAATATAAATGATTATATATTAAAATAAAAATAATTAATTAATTTAATTATAATTATAAAATTATAAAATTTAAAATACGATTAAAATATATAATCATTATTAAAAAAATAAATGAAATAAAATAGATAAAAAGAAAAAATATAAACAAATCATTTGAAATAGATAGAGTACATAGACCAACAATCAATATTTAAATATAAAAAAATATCCAAAAGCAACACGGGTAATATTTTCTTATACACGGTTTCCCTAATAAATTATACATTAAACGATTCTATTATTTTTATATTTTTTACATAATTATCTATATTTTACATAAAAAATAAAAAATAAAAATAAAAAATTCTTTCCAATCATTTCATAAAAACAAACACACCCCCACATCTCTGCCACTCTCTTTGATCTTTTAATATTTTTTTATTTATTATACAATCTTAATCTTCACAATTGTTTATAAAAATATGTTGCATTTATTGAAATAATTATATCAAATTATACTTAATTAAGCTAAAAATCAAAATTAAAATAAAAACTCAAACTCTATCATAATAATAATAATAACGTAGTGGTTCAGCGCGCCTGCGTTATATAAAAAAAATTGAAATTAAAATTAAAATGACACTACAGGTAATAATCTAATTAGTCAAAGTAAATAATACTGTTGGACCTCCATGCATATGCTTGTCTCAAATTGCATTGACTTACTTGACTTTGACCATTCTAATGAATTAATATTGCAAATTACAAATGTCAATTTCAATTCTGGTCTTACTTTCGTATATATATGTTCAACAAAAACAGATGAATTTCACCAAACGGCAGTCACAAAATTTGACTTAAAAAAAAAAAAAAAAAAAAAAAAAAAAAAGGGAAAAATGTAAATATGTTGATGGTGAATTTTTTAACAATGATGTAGATTCATAAATACAACACATTAACTAACAGATTATATAGTTTTACACAATACATGCAACAATTGATTTTAATACATGATAAAGAAATTGAAAAATAAAATTGAAAAAAAAATTAAAAATTGATGTGAATCCGGAGTAGCTTTTTATAGTTAGGTAGCCAAATGGCCATTGAAATTTAATGCTTGATTAAATTAAATTTAACTTAGGTTAAACTATATCACAAATTTCTCTATTTTATAAAAAAAATTGCACATAAAATCACTGTATTACCATAAATTTTGCATAAATCGCTTACTATTTCCTAAAATTAACGATGACTAAGAAGATATGTATCTTCAAAAGCTATCTGCATGATAAGTATATGATTCTTCGTAGTTGTTTTTGGGGAAAAAAAAAAAAGAGAGATATTATAAGTTAGTTATGTTTGTTTGATTGTGCTTTGAAATTTATTTTAAATAAAATATTGATTTGATTTTTTATTTAAATAATATTTTAATATACTCATCATTTTCATAACTAGATATTTATTTGTTTTTTTTAAGTAGTTTTAGAAATATTAGTATTATATTGGGATGTAGTAGGAATAAAGTAGAAATGACTAATATAACCTTATTAGTAG